CTTTTTCGGGCAGGGAGGGGCTGGCAGTCTGCTCTAGACAACTTCTCTGAGTGAGTTTGGATAACAGGGGACCGTCCCCAAGAGACTGGCTGCCTCAGTGTGTGTTGACAAGTCCAATGTCCAAGTCTGAAAAGAAGGTGCCAGAAGTCTCCCCAGCACTGCCTGGAAACCTTTGGGTCTTGATGTCCCGGAGGCCCCCCATCTCAAGGAAGGACTTGCTTTAGAAAGCAGAGACCCCACGGAAAGGCTACCCTCAGGTGTACATCACTTCGCACGCTCTTCCAAGAGCATGTGCCTCTGTGTGTGTGTGTGTGTGTGTGTGTGTGTGTGTGTGGTTCCTGCTTCATTCATTCACTGCTTCGCCCACAGCCAGTTCCCCCCACCTTCCCTAGCAGAAGCTGGTGCCAGGGAGCTTGCAGAGCCTGCCCCAGGCCCTTGCTCCAGACGCAGGGTAAACGTTACACCTGAGGCCTGCCTGGAAAGAAGGCCAGACAGAGGCAGGCGCCTTGGCTCCCAGCCCCACTGGAAGGCGGTAAACAAGGTCCATGTTGCAATCCTCTGCCTGCGAGGAGGTCATCATGCAGGGCTGGAGTGCAGAGCAGAGGAGGCAAAGGGCAGGAGGAGTCCTGGTGCGCAGGGAGAGCCGGACTGGCCAGGAGGAGGGGGGCTGGGAGAAGAGTGAGACCTGGTGGCCGAAGGCAGGGCAGCAGCGAAGAGGTGCAGAGGGGAGAGGGGAGAGGCAGCTGGGTGGTGCAGCTCTCTCTCTGAGGCGAGAGTTGGAGAGCTGGAGAGGTCTGAAGTGCAGGGCGCAGGGCGTGGGGCAGGCAGGGTCAGTCAGCAGCTTTCAAGCTGCTCCGTGAACTGAAGACTCCTTGTCGTAGTCTCCAGGTCTCCGAGTATCTGCTTCCCTTGCCCCTGAGAGCGGGAGCCCCTGTCCCCCCCAACCCCAGCCCCTCAGAGGAGGAAACTCCAGGGCAGGGATCTCACGTTTCAGGCTGACACTCAGGGATGGAGCCCCTTCTGCGATCTAAGGTTCCCTGGGGTCGGGGACACCGGATGGAGAAGACCGCGGGCGATCGGGCACTTGGGTGGCTCACACCCTGCAGACCACTTCACACACACTGGCTGTCGCACACCACCCTCAGGACACCGAGAGGGCTACGTTCCCCCATCGGACCACAAAGAGAGGCTCACAGAGAGGAAGCGATTGGCCCAGAGCACATCTGAAGCTGGTCACTCAGTCTGCAAGCTTTAGGGACAGTCCCTCCTCTTGGAGTTGGGCACGCAGCAGGGAGAGACATTCTCTGCTTTCGGGGGGCATCTGGTGTTTTAGAGAGGGAGACAGTAAATCAAGGAGCAAAGAGGGAAGTTGAGCTAATGATTAAGATGAAAAGGTAATCTAGAGGGGCTGCTACTCAGGCTGGGGAGACAGGGGAGGCCCCTGTCCAGCAACCTCCGCCCTGGGGCGGGGGCGGGGGGGGGTAGAGACTGGCACATGGAGAGAAGAGTGAGCACAGAAGCTCTGAGACCAGATGGAGCTTCATGCCCTGGGCCCAAGCGGCAGGCAGACAAGCATAATTGCACCTGAACACAGAGGGGCGGGCACAGGTCAGATAACTCCAGCCTCATGGGCTCTGGGAAAGGGGCCAGGAAGCTGCATGAAGGGACAGAGGAGGTGAGAGCAGAGGCAGGGAGGCCAGGAAGAAGGCTGTTCCTCAGGCATCCAGCTCAGAGATGATGGGGTCTATGGTCAGGAGGGTGGATTGGACCCAAGGGTGAGGGATGTGATGAAGGATGTGGTCTGAATTGGGGAAGCCAGGGAGGGAGCAGAAGCGAAGGGGAAGCGGATTTTGATCCTAAAATCCAAGCATTTTACCACTGACAGAGACTTTGTCTTTTTCTTCCTTGTCCCTCATTGGCCAGGACAGTGGTGGGTACAGAGTAGGTATTCAATCAATTCCTTTATGTAGGCAGTGACTATTTATTGAGCACCTACTATGTGCCTGGCTCTGTCCTAGGCACCAGGGACATACGAACATGGCAAAGTCCTTGGCCCCTTAGAGCTTACCCTTTCGAGGGAGGGGGGCATGTGTGCGTGCAAGCGCATGTGTGATTGGTGGTAAGAGAAGGAAGAGAGGAACAGAGGGGGCTGTTTTAGATGTGGTGGTCACGGTAGGCTTCCCTGATGAGGTGACCTCTAAGCCCAGACTTCATAAGAGTGAGGTGGTGAGTCAGACACTGAGTATCTTGAGGAAGTACATTTCAGACAGAAAGCCATCAGTACAAAGGCCCAAAGGTGGAGGGGGGGTGCTTGTTGACTGACTAGTAGATCTGTTACTTGTTGATTCATTAATCAGTACCTGTGTCTCACTCAGCCTTGGAAGTCTCTGAGAACAATGCCAGGGTTTTTTATTCCCCTGCCCACCAAGAGTGGTCAGAGGGGTGGAGTGGGAGCCAATTCCTTCCTTTATGCCGTCCCTCTTTCCCCAACCCAGGCCAGGCCTCAAAGTAGGGAAGAGCGAGGGACAGGTATTGATTCCGTCACACACCTAGAGGGAAAGGCAGAGGAAGTCAAGGAATAAGGCAGACTGTGCTGTCGCAGAGGCCACCCCCTCCCCCCCCATGCTGTTTCTGGTTTTAATTCCTGGGGGTCCCACCCTGTTACCCCACCCCTTGCTTCTGCCCCTGCCATGGCCGCCGCGGCATGGGGACCCCCTTGCCCCTCTGGACGGACAGCCATCTGCAGAGTTATTTGCTTCTCTCCATCTCGCCAGGGGTAGCGGGCACACCTAGGGATGCTGCCTCCCCACTCAGTCCCAAGGCCTGGGCACCGAGGCCCTATGGATTTCACACATAAAGGATGGGCATGCCTGGGTCTTGGCACAAACTTCATCCAGACTCCTGGCCATGTCTGGGCCCTCGGTTACTTCCTCCTTATTATTCCTAAGCCATTTCTGCTTCTCCAGCTATCTTGCTGACAGGACACGCTGTTCTAAATTCCACTGATTCAAGAGTTTCTATTCTTACCAAGAACACATAACAGACAATATATCCCCAAACATGCCTGACCACACATAGCATCTTAGAAGCCATGCGGAGGCACACGGTGGGGATGGATTGCCCAGCCTAACATGTTAGTTCTTCCTGATTTTTATTCCAGGCCCTCCCTTTCTGGTCATGTGAAATTCGTCAGGCCCCAGAAACCCAGAAGTTCCCTCCCACAAGGCATTCTAGGGCTCTGTAGAGGGGCCCCAACAAGGCCAGGCCCTCCTTTCCTGGGTGAATCCCTCCTCGAGAGCCCAGGGCTGTGAAGGCTAGGGGAACCCGGCTTCTGGGACTTTAAGTGGGGGGAAAAGGCAGGTGAGAGCCGTGGAGGGAAGGCCTTCTGCAGAGAGGGGCTGACCTGGCTGGGCCTGGCCAGTTGCCCTTTGCCTGTAGCTCAATGGTTCTCAAAGCACAGCCCCCAGACGCACTTGGTGGTGTCTTGCCTTAGACCTACTCCATGAGAAATTCTGGGGGGGCGGGGGTGGAGGAATGGGGAGGCGCCTGTGTGGCTCAGTCGGTTAAGGGTCTGACTTAGGCTCAGGTCATGATCTCATGGTTCTTGGGTTCGAGCCCCACATCGGGCCCTGTGCTGACAGCTCAGAGCCTGGAGCCTGCTTTGGGTTCTGTGTCTCCCTCTCTCTCTGCCCCTCCTCCACTTTCTCTCTCTCTCTCAAAAATAAACATTAAAAAAAAAAAAATTCTGGGGCGGGGCCCAGCCATCTGTGTTTTAATAAGCCCACCGGCTGATTTTGACACTGAACGGTGGCAAGAGGTGAGACTCGGACTGGAACGCGCAGTTAGGTCCAGGGCTGGGAGGCTGTGAGCACGGCCCTTCTAGTCGCAGGCCCAGGGACTGGATTTTACAAGGTCTCTCAGTGATGGGCTCCAACGAACACCTAACTGGGAGATGCAGACCACTGTAACTTTCCCCTTTTTTACCCAGGTCTCCGGGTTTTCTTAGCATCTAGAAATGTTCTGGTCCAGGAGAAGTGTAGTTATTTCAGACGTCCTTGGGTAAAGTCCCCGGGAAGCTGCCGGCCTGCCTAATTGAGTCAAATCATTTCATTTATCCCCGAATTCAGTTAAGGAGAAAGAGGATCTCGCTTTGCCTTAAACAGAAGTCGCCCTCCTCACAACATAGACCTCCCTACAACTGCAGGGAGGGGGTGGGGTGGAAAGGAGGGTCTTAGTTTGGAATTTGTGGCTCACTCCTTGCCGGTGTGGGGGGAACTCAGGCCCCATCAAACAAACGTCCAGGAAGCACGACGACTTTTGTGTTGTCGTGGTTGCCTTTTCAGTGGTCCCTGCGGCCAGGAGGGGAGTAGGTTTGTACATCCCCCTCGGGGGGACAGAAAAGCGATGCGAGGATTGCCCCAGAAGGTTCCACTCCGTTTACCCAGGCTGAGGGCCTCGCAAGACCCCGACCTTCCACAAATGTTTTATTTATTATCCCTGGCTCAGAGACGTTAAACAAGCAGCCCGAGGCCACACAGCGGGTGGCGAAGGCAGCAGAGCCCGGGCGCGTGCCCAGTCTCTCTGGACCTTAGCGCCTCCTCCGGCGCCCGCCTGGCCCTCCCTCGAGGAATCCGAGCCCCAGAAGTCGTGCCCCCGGGTTCGGGAGCGAGGAAGTGACTCCCGCACCGAAGTCCGCCGGGTCGGCCCTCCCCCGACTGCCGGATGCTCCACCCTCGTTCTCGGAGGACCCCCCCAAGGCTCGCGCTGGGTTCGCGCCCACCCGGTCCCGAGCCCGCCCTCCTCGCCCCTGCCAGGGGGCTCCTCCGGGCCGCCCGCGCTGACTCAGCGTAAACCGAGTAGCGGAGGGCGGCGAGGCCTGACGCGCGCGGCCCGGGCTTAAGTACTCCGCTTTGATTGTCCCCTCCCTCTCCCCCGCCCTCCCCCTGCCCCGCTCCGCCCCCCGGGAGAGGTCCGGGGCGCGGAGCCGGCTGCTTCGCGGAGCTGCGGGAGGGCGCGAGCAGCAGCGCGCAGCAGAACACGGCGCAGCATGACTGCCATCGCGGTGCAGGTAACCCCGCGAACCCGGCGGGGCGCGGAGCCGGCCGCCCCCCGAGCGGTCCGGGGGTCTGCCCCACCGGGAGGTGGGAGGGGACCTTGCAGTGAACCCCAGATCCACCGGGGGGAGGAGCGCGCCCCGCCTTGCCTGTCTTCTGTTGCAAGCTTGTGGGGTTCGGAGGAAGGTGGGCGGGACGCAGCCTGGGGGCGCTGCCCCCCCTCTCCCCCGACGCCACTCCTGCAGCTCAATCTCCTCCCGCCTTTGCTCGGGGCCCGCAAGTACCCGAGGGCCCCCAAACTTCTTGCGGTGGCTTTTTCTGCTTCTCTTTGGGGTCACCAGTAACTGTGATTAGGCTTTCCAGAGGGGTCCCACCTTTTCAAAAAGGAGAGGTACGTCTGGGATGGAGGGTGGACACAGTCCGCTTGCAAAGTGAGGTTTGTCTTACATAACATGAAGATGCGCCTCGGGGGAAGCCAGAAGTTTCTCGGGCGGGGTCTAGGAAGACCGTCTCTGCTTCTCCAAACGCATCTGGGGTGCTGGGGGCGGGGACGGACTCATTGGGGCGCGCAGGCACTTAAGAGAGAAGGTCGTAGGGGCGCCTGGGTGGCTCAGTCGGTTAAGTGTGGGACTTGGCTTAGGTCCAGATCTGGGGGTTAGGGAGTTGGAGCCCCGCGTCGGACTCCGCTGACAGCTCAGAGCCTGGAGCCTGCTTGGGATTCTGTCTCCCTCTCACTCTGCCCCTCCCCTGCTCGCACTCTGTCTCTCTCAAAACGAAATAAAAATCATTTTTAAAAAGAGAGAGAAGGTTGTCGCGAGGGGAGGGGGAGGGGCTCGCATCCCCAAAGGTCTGATTTCTCCGACGGGTGCAAGTTGTTTTTGTTGGCCGAGAACCTTCCATTCCGGCCCCCTGCCCTCCGGCGCGCGGCCGCCGGCTACCCGGCGAGAAAGCTGCATTTCACCGGCTCGCGCTCAACACCCCCACCCCGAGTCTTCTGGCCGGAACGTTCTAACGATTAGAGGCTCCGTTGACTTTGCCTGCAAATGCCCAGACCCCTGCCAACGGTGACTCCGGTAGACGCTGTTCCGCCCAGTTTATAGACACAATAACTGAGGCCCAGAGGGGAAGTAACTGGGTCCGGGTAGACCGCTAAACCACACAGTCGAGATTCAAAACAGGACTTCTTGGCTCCAAATCGTACTTGCCTTTTCTACTTTTTACTAACGGGAGAAATCGTAGCCGCCCACCACCGTTTCCGCGCCCCCCCCCCCAGCCCCGTTTAGCCTGGGGACACAGCCGTTTGGAGGAGGAGGGGGGCGGGTTGCAGCGAGTCCCTCCTGTTTGTTCTGGTTCCTAATCTTGAGTCTTGATGCGGGAGCGTCGGGGACAGGCCCTGGGAAAAGGGGACTGGCAGTGAGGAGGGTGGGACCGGGTGTGGCATCTCCCCCTGGAGAACTGCGAGAGGGACTTAGTAAACAAGGATTTAGAAGTATCAGGACGTGAAGGCGCCTGGGTGGCTTAGGCGGTTAAGCGTCCGACTTTCGCTCAGGTCATGATCTCGCGGTTCGTGGGTTCGAGCCCCGCGTCGGGGTCTGTGCTGACTGCCAGCTCAGAGCCTGGAGCCCGTTTCAGTCTGTGACTCCCTCTCTCTCTGACCCTCCCCTCCTCACGCTGTCTCTCTCCTAGAAATAAATTATAAAAAAAAAAAACATTAAAAAAAAAAAGAGGTGCAGAAGCTGCGGGCTGGATTAACGGGCAGGGGGGCAGAGGCGTTGTGTGCTGGGCCCGGAGAGGGCAGCAGGTGGAGGGGACCTAGTTAGCGGGGGGAGGGGGGAGGCGTGGGAGCGCCGGAGGATCATTCAGGCCCCAGGCTCTGCCACAGGGGTGAGGCGGCGCACAGGCTGAGGGACAATAGTCCATGCTGCCTAGCCCCTTTAAATTGGCCCCAAGGTCTGTTCTAAGCACTTGAAGTGATAACTCATTCCAGCCCCGGGGAGGTAGATGATGTTATCTTCACTTACAGGTGAGGAAACCCGGTGAAAGAGGGGAGAAATAACTTGCCAGAAGGAGGAGAACTAAAAAGCAGGCTGGCTGGGGTCATGCAGGCCAGCGTGGGCAGGGGCTGAAGGGACAGTGGCAAGCCACCTCTTTAGGAAACTGGTTGAGAACTTTCTGGTTAATAATGATAGGGGTCTGGCCTAGGCCTGCGCAGAGCGGCAGTGTGTCTGGAGGGAAGCCTGGAGGTGGGGGTTGGGGACTTGAAGAATGAGTCGTGAGGGGGAGGGGGCAGGTGGGGCCCTGAGATGTCACAAGGGAAACCTCTAGCCAGTGGAGTCAGTGGCCCCGGAGTGTCCAGGTACCCTGTCCTACGGATCGTAGAAATCACTGAGGGTTAGAGAGGGGAAAGAGAAAGGCTCACATTCTTTCCGCGGAAGAAAGGAGATTAAAGCGCCTTGCTCAAGGTCCCACAGCTGCAGGCTGGAGGGGCAGGGGCAAGTCTACACTGCCTTGGTTCCATCCTGTCTGCTGGCCACACTGCTACCAGCTGCCTCTCCGGGAGAGGGTTTGGGGCCCTGGGTCACGAAGGCCAGCAGAGCTGCCGGCAGTGGTGCAGGGGGGTTGGGAATGAAGACTCCGGTATATATTATTCTTGTTGCTCATGGTATCAGTAGTTCCCCGAACACCTTTATATACATGGTCTCTTGTCATTCTTGGGAGTTTTCTTGGTGATCAGAGTTTCTTTGTTGTTGTTTTTTTTAAATTTTTAATGTTTTATTTCTGAGAGAGAGACAGCGTGAGCAGGGGAGGGTCGGAGAGAGAGGGAGACACAGAATCCGAAACAGGCTTCAGCTCCGAGCTGTCAGCACAGAGCCCAACGCAGGGCTCGAATCCACGAACTGTGAGATCACGACCTGAGCCGAAGTCGGACGCTTAACCGACTGAGCCACCCAGGCGCCCCTCTTTGGTTTTTTTTTGTTTTTAAGTTTATTTGTGAGAGAGGGGGAGCAGGGGAAAGGCAGAGGGAGAGAGAGAATCCCAAGCAGGCTCTGCACTGTCATCTTGGAACCCTATTGGGGCTCGACCCCACAAACTGTGAAATCATGACCTGAGCTGAAATCAAGAGCCGGTCCCTTAACCAACTGAACCACCTGGGGGGGTGGGGGGTGGGGGGGAGGAGTTATCAGAGACTTTAAAGGAGTTTAAAGAATGACCCTGCTTTGAGGTAGGACGGGGAAGAAATGAACTGACGTGAGCTGTCATCTATTTGATCCCAGGGGACTAAAGTCCAGTCTGTGCCCAAGGCAGGTGGGGCTGAGGGAGGCACAGGACATGCCTGTTATCTAGACATCATCATGTCCAGGGTCAAAAGGTTTCTGGGTCGTGTGTTCTGTGACTTGATTGAGAGGCCTTGCATCTGGGACTCTCCTCCCCTAGGACCTTACCAGTGAACTTCTGGGCCGGGCACCTGCGTGGCTCTAGCTTTCCTGCAGGGGTCACCTCCTCCATTTTGTAGATGAGAACCCCAAGGGCCAAAGAGGTTAAGAAGCCACCCACCGACAAACACCTTTAATGGTTTGTAGACACAGAGGTTTCAAAGTCTCTTTGGTTTCTTAGTAGTAAAGCCGTTTTCTTATGATGAAATCCAACACAGATTCCCAGACTACCAGTGTGCCCAGCGCGTAAGGAGGACCTGTTGTGGGGGTGCCTGGGGGGCTAAGTCAGTTAGGCTCCGACTTCAGATCTCGCGGTTTGGGAGTTTGAGCCCCCGCTGACAGCTCAGAGCCTGGAGCCTGCTTCGGATTCTGTTTCCCTCTCCCTACATCCCCCCACTCGTTCTGTCTCTCTCTCTCTCTCTCTCAAAAATAATAAATAAACAAAAGAATGACCTGGTGTGACTGAGTGAGAACGTGGCCAGAGCAAGCCAGCTCAGCTTCCCCTCCTCCCCTCCCGGGGCACCTAGAAGCCGGCAAGGGGTCACAGTTTGAGAACCACGCCTACTCCACTTGGGTGCCCTTTATCATGCCCCAGGCGGCCTTTATCTGGGGATGGGGGCCCTGACCGCGGGGCATCCCTCTGCACCCTCTACTCCTTTTCCTCACGGGTAATATTGAGCCCCTAACGCAAAGGCCCTGGACCTGGAAGGACCCAGTCAGCATTTATTGGCCAAATGCATCCAGGCAGCCGTAACCAGCTTTATTGTGGTTTAGCTGAGTGATCTTGGGCAAGTCATCTGGCCTCTGTGTGACATAGTTCACCTCCTTACGCCACCTCCCCACCCCCCACCCCCGGGGAGCTTCCTACAATAGGAGCCTCACAGGTTTGAGTAAAATAAGCCCCTGCTTTGGCAGAAGTGCTGAAAGGACACCGGGTCCTTATTCATATGTCCCCAGGGCTCCCCAGGGGACACATGGAAATTCCTGGTAGCTCCGGTCAGCCTCCTGATGTTCCTGCTTGGAGCTCTGACCACAGGCGCCTCCCGGGAACCTGGCTTTGCTTTCCGTCCCTCCTCACTGAGAAGCATGACCCAGACTTGCCTCTCTTTGCACATGACACAGGTGAACCCCATGGTCCCTGTTCAGTTTCCCAGCAGTGACAGATCCCCATGAGCTGTCTGCATTGCCTATCCCCCAAGTCTGGGTGTAACCTGCTTCCATACACACTGTAAAGGGGGTAATTTGTGACTGGGCAGGAGACTTGTTTAAAGGGAGCTCCAGGGGGGCCTGGGTGGTTCAGTCGGTAAGCATCCAACTCTTAATTTGGGCTCAGGTCATGATCTCCCTTTTGGTGAGTTCCAGCCCTGCGTCGTGCTCTGCGCTGGTAATGCGGAGCCTGCCTGGGATCCTCTCTCCCTCTCTGCCCCAACCTCTTCTCATGCGCTCACTCGCTCTCTCTCTCTCAAAAAGTAGGTAAATAAATATTCAATAAAAGGGGTGGGGGGAGTTTCAGATGGAAGTGACAGGGGTTGCAAACTTGATCATTCATTTGTCCTGTGGGCATTTAGCAACTGAATGCCCCGGGCAAGCAATGTGCAGGGTACTGGGTGTGCAGAGTACTGGGGAGGCGGCAGGGCCTACGCCCTCTTGGTGCTCGGCGTCTGTGAGCTAGACAACATACAAGTACGAATCAAAAGGGAATGGATAACTTGTGGTCGGAACAGGGAAGAAAGCCCGGGTCCTGACGGGAGGGGACCTGGTCTGGTTGGGGAGGCAGGAAAGATCTCTGTGAGGACATTTCCACGGAGACATGAAGAATGGAGAGAAGGAGACAGTCTGGAGAAGAATCTCTTAGGCAGAGGGACCAGGAGGTCTGAGGAAGAAAGTTCTAGATGTGCCCTTAGGTGTAGAAAGAGGGCTGCCGTGTCCGAGTGGGGCAGCCAGGAAGAGTGTGCTGGGGGGTGAAGTTGGAGAGAGAAGCAGGGCAGAAGGTGCAGGGGTTATGGGCAGCGCTAAGGAGTTTGACTCTTCAAAGTATTTCTTTTTTGCTTTCTGGGTTGGGGAGGGGACCCGCGCCTGGGTGGTGTCCCAGGGCTGTGAGATAAGGGACACCTCACTGGATGCCTGGACCAGTTTGCCAGAAGAGAAGGGGTGGGTGTACCCTTCCAGGGCTGCAGCTAGAGGCCGAAGGGGAGCCTCAGTGGTTTCGCACACGCCCGGAAGCTGCTAGACAGTTGAGCTGACCAGCCCTGGGTGGGGTTCAGGTGCAGGCTGAGCAAGACTGAAGGGCAAGGTGCAAACATCACTTTCAGTACGGAGGAAAACAAGGTAATAACGCCGAGTCAGGAATGTGCGGGACCAGCAGGGTGGAGAAAGGCTAAAAACTGAAGTATGCTGGGAAGGCCTGGGGGAGGGAGAATGGAGCCTTGTATTAGAAAGTGAAGTTTAAAAAAAAAAAAAAAAGAATACTAATACTCCTGTGCTTTTAAACAACCTTTGCAGTGCTTTAGGCAGGGTTCTTGCTCTGCATACAAAGAAACCCACAGGGTACTGCAAGTTCAAGGTCACAGGAGCCTGGTCTGACAAGTTTTCTGAATTCGGGAGAGACTAGGATCTGCTGGCTTGCGGGTCAATAGAATTTGGATTTCTTCTTCATAAAGATCATTAAAGAAAGAAAGGGCAGGGAACCCTTCATGCCTGGTGACTAGTTGGGACAGTCCATGCTTCTGGGTCTTGGACAGAGGACCGGGAGCAGGTAGAATGGGGGAAGGGCTCCCCCAGAAGTGGGGTCTGTGCTGCAAGTGAAGGAGGGGCTGGGAGGGAAGCTCCTTGCAAAGGTGGGTGTCCCAGGCCTCCCAGGAGACCGCACCTTGGGAAGCCGGGAGCATGGTCAAGGGTTCTCCCTGACGTGCCATCTGTGGTGTGTCTTCCAGGCCCAGAGGCTGCTGGCCCAGAGGCGGCCCCAGCGGCCCTTCTTGGAATCCTTCATCCGGGTCCTCATCATTGTGTGCGCCGCCCTGGCCCTGGTCCTCTCCTCCGTCTCCATCTGCGATGGTCATTGGCTGCTGGCTGAGGGCCACCTCTTTGGGCTCTGGCACTTCTGCACTTCCTCCAACCAGACGGGGCCACGCTGCCTCAGAGACCTGAGCCAGGCCCACGTGCCCGGGCTGGCCGTGGGCATGGTCCTGGCCCGCAGCGTGGGCGCCCTGGCTGTGGTGGCCGCCATTCTGGGCCTGGAGCTCCTCATGGTGTCCCAGGTGTGTGAGGACCTCCGCTCACGACGCAAGTGGGCTGTGGGCTGTGTCCTCCTCCTCATCTCTTTCATCCTTGCCTCCGGGGGGCTCCTGAGCTTCGTGATTCTCCTCTGGAACCACGTCACGCTCACTGGCTTCACCCTGATGTTCTGGTGCGAGTTCACGGCCTCCTTCCTCTTCTTTCTGAATGCCATCAGCGGCCTTCACATCAACAGCATCACCCACCCCTGGAGCCAACCAAGGAAGTTTTAGGCCTCCCTCCTAAATCCGAGGACATCAGGCTTTACAAGAAAGTGTGGTCAAGAAGGGACTTTTCCGACATGTGACCTCTGATGGGGGTAGGGGTGGGACAGTGACCTTGAGACTGCCACTTCTTGGTCCATGACCTTTGGGTGGTTGGCCAGAACCAGCCCAGTGGCCTCTGCAGCGGGCCTGCGGGGCCGGAGGCCGGGAGTGTGCCTCAGTGCCACCAGCTGTACGGCCTTAGCCAAGTTATTATGATGTGGAGTTTAGAAGCAACATGTTTTAAAACTCTTTTCTTGAATCTTTCTTCCCAGGATGGGAATAGACTTGGAAGCAGCTTGGGTAACTGGTGCCTGGGCTGGCCGCAGAGCTAAGTGCAGTTCACGCTTGTTTTATTGACTATATGCCAGGATGGGGCTGTGGGGTCCCTGGGGTCTCCTGGGGTTGCCCTGAGCCGATCATCCTTCCAGCTAAGCATATCCACTTCAGTGCCTAGGACTGTCTTCCACCAGCCCGAAGGGCCTATGTGCACATTTCCCTGCCGTAGCTTTGGTCATGCTATTGAGGATTCCCTCCATTTCTTGCACATCATGGGTTTTTAAACCATCTGACTTGATTTGAGTCCTGCCTTTTGGGGGGTCCCATAATCCTTGAATAACTTCAGCTTCCAGCAGCCGCCTTGTCGGCCGTCTGTGGGAATCCTGCCTTACGTCTTGGAGCCAGCTCCCCAGGATGGCCCACAGCCCTCCCTGAGGTGAGCGTGTATGTGTGTCCGTCTTTGCTAAGGGTCAGACGGCCTCAAGGTACCATTGTTTGCTCCTAGAGCACATTTTCAAAGAGCACATATCTGGACCTGCTGGACTCCGGGGGGTAAAGGGGACTTGCTTGGACTTGTAATGATTAACAGCCGCCCCGGGGATGAGTGCAGGTGAGGGGAACCATGAACCAGTGGAGACTTCCATGCTTGCTGCCCAATCTGCATTTTTATGTAGCCAGTCGCCCCCTTCCCAATTTCTCTTCTGCCCAGTAGCTGGGGTTTGCCCTGAGCCGTTTCCCACAGTAGCCCCTTCCCCCTCCACCTGGTTCTTTATTCTGAGAGAGAGAAAGCCCAAGTGGGGAAGGGGCGGAGAGAAGGAGAGACAGAATCCCAAGCAGGCTCTGTGCTGGCTCTCAGTGTAGAGCCCAGTGCGGAGCCCCAACTCCCGAACCCGTCAAACCAAGATCAGGGGTCAGACCCTTAACCAACTGAGCCACACAGGCACCTCCTGTGGCTTTTTGAAAACTTCTCTCTCCAAATGCATATGGAGATCAGGAGAGCAGTCGGGGGCCAATCCATTTTTCAGAAAGCAGAGCTCATAACCATACAGGCTGGGTTCTTAGCCCTGGAAAATAAGCACCTGGGCTTTCATTCCAGGAACAGTTCACAAGGTGCAAAGGGGTGACCTCCTTGTCTCTGCAGTGGGGACGTGCAGGGGTGGGAAGCCAGGGCCTGGGGGTGGGGGGAGACAGCCCGCTCGTCCGAGGTCACCTGCCAGCAAGATGCCTTTTCCTTTATGTTGGGGTTTCTGCCTACAATGCTTCCCCCCCCCCACACACACTAGTAGGCTTTGTTTTGTAAAAAGGTTCAAATGTTCAGTCCTTAATCTTCACAGGGCTGGTGGGTGAGGGAGTGCTGATAGTCCAGGAAACTAAAACCCGAAGACGAAAACGTGAGACAGACCCCCATGGGATAGGGACACAGGCCCTTGTCCCCTGCCCGGGAATGCAGACAGACACAGCCTCGGAGGATGGGGATTTGAAACCAAGAGCCCTGGACTGAACGTGTGACCCTTCTTGCTGAGTATCTCGGGCAAGTCACAGGACCTTGGTGAACCTGCTTCTTTTTCAAATGGAATCACGCCCCATTCCCGGCTACTCTGCCTCTGAGGCCGCGGGTGACCTTGAAAGAGCGGGAGGAACGGGATGGTGCCTTGTGGCCTGCTGGGGTTACTAAAAAGAAGCTGGGGGTCTGGGCGGCTCTCCTGGCCTCACTGATGTGGTCAGGTTAGTTCAGTTGTCTCGAGGCTCTAGGGTAAGAGGTCCTGGAAGGGGAATTGTAGTGAGGGGTAAGGAGGGTCCACCAAAGGCCAGGGGTCTCGATTGCTCATGTTTCCTGGGCTCCGAGGTTATCCCTGAAAACTGCAGGAAGGGGATAGGGAAGCGAGCCGGAGAATCCTTCACCTTGTGTCTCAAAGGCTAAATGAGCGCAGACAGTTACATACCCAACCCGTCCCGGCTTCCGTTTATTTCCCTGCCGTCTTCTGTTACCCGTGACCTGTCCTTCCCGTAACACAGCAGACCCAAACCCCAGCCGGCTTCCTGCCCCACGGCGCCTGTGTTCTTTTCAGTTCTGAGGAATTACCACCGCAGCCCCCTCCCCGAGCCCAGGCCCAGAGGAGGGGTGTTCTTGGTCACGGAGAAAGCATATGATGTCTGCCGAGAAGACTGATACGGACTGCAGCAACGTGGAGCCTTCTCGTGACCCGTCACGGTGTCTGTCCCGTGGGTGGCCCGGCTCCAGCCTCTCAGATGACGCTGGCCCTGCAGGTGCCCCCGCTCTGCTCTGAGGTGCTGCCCTTGGTGCTGTGGGGGAGGCCGCTGGTGCCGGTGCTGACAGTGGAGCTGAGGGGCACGGGGCGCAGTAGAAACTCACGGACGTGCCACTGCCGCCACTTCTTCTGAACCTCCAGCTGCACCTGCCCCCAGAGACCAGCCATCAGTGGAGGAGAGAAGAACTGACCTTGTACCCACAGCCCCATCCACTCCCCTCCCCCCCGGGACTCAGCGTGATCCTACCGACCATGTACCCACAGTCCCATCCACCCCCCTCCCCCCGGGACCTCAGCCTGGTCCCACCGGCCTTGTACCCTTAGTCCCCTTCACTCCCCGGGACTCAGCGTGGTCCCACTGCTCGTATCTTCCCCTCTCCTGCAGGCCCCTCAGATTAGCCGTTTCCGGCCCCAACGTCCGGGAGGGATTGAGGGCCCCTCTCTCCTGGACACTTTCACCCTCAGTCTTACTGCCTGTGTCCCAAGGAAGGGACTTGGGGCTGCTTCACAAATTCCAGAACTCCAGTGTCCAGGTCGTCACCTGACACAAACCAGACTCCTTCCCATGAAGCCTCCTAAGCTCAGAACTCAATCTGGGGGCGCGGAAGTCGCTCTTTGGAAATTTCCTTCACGGCGCCCGGCTGTCACAGCCCAAACCTTTGAAGCCAGCCTTCGCGCTCGGGTTTTGGAAAACAGGCTATGCCCCTTCAAGTGTGGCAAACCAGCTGGATGGTCAGCAGGTACGGAAAGGCTGTGCGTGTGTGAAAGACTGTATTCAACCCGTGTTGGTTACGCTGCTTGCGTGTGTCCTCACCCACACGCTCTGTGCAGGAGCAGAGACTTCGGGGTCAGGGTCTGGCCCTCCCAGGAGTCAACTTTAATTTGGAGGTTACAGATACTGCCTCTGAGTCCCTCATTTTACAGATGGGAAGACTGAGGCCCACTGAAGGGCAGTGAGCAGGGTCCCCCACCAGGCAAGGCAGCAGAGCAGTTGGGAGCCTGGGTCCTTGTCGGGGCACCCGCACTTCCCCCTTTCCTGAACTTGCTCAAGGATGCAAATGCCCTGGAGAGCTTCTTCAATATTTTCAGGCTCCAACCCAGACATACAGAATCCTTTCTGTGCTGAGTTAGAAGCTGAGGGTAGCGCCCAGCTATTGTGTAAGCTAGGCTTCTGGGTGCTTTGATGTCCCCATGAAGTGAGCTCAGGGGACCCCGCCCGCACCGGACCCCCCCACCCCACACCAAACACCTCTCCCCAACACCGTTTCCAGGCAGCTCCTGAACAGGGATCCAGGGGCTAGGAAACTCCTCCGGCCAGGCCACCTGAGAACTCACCTCCCCGTTGAGGAAGCAGTAGAGGACAGCCACCACCAGGCCCTGCAGGGGGACAAAGAAGCAAGGGGTCAGCGCAGGTGCTCCAGCACCCAGCCTCCTTCAGCCTCCTCTGCGCGTCCACACATGGCCAGCCCAGGCTCACTCCTCCCCAGGAGGGGTTTCACAGGTCTGGAGCCTCCCCACACGTCTCACCTCTGGGGGAATCTGAGCTACTCTTCTGGGCCCCCTAGGTTGCCCCTGGCTCTGCTCGTGTCACTCAGCATAGACTCAGCCCCTTGGGCTAAGAGCAGGGCCCCTTTCATTGAGCTCAGTGTCCAGCGTAGGGCATTGGACACCTGTGGTTTCAGTAACCACAGAGTCGAAGCTGCTGACTTGGGCCCGTGGGGACCAGGCCGGTCCCCTGAAATAGCAAGGCGGGCCATCTGGGAGAAGCAGAGGTGCCCAAAGCGCACCTGTCCCTCGGGTAGGGGGTGGGGCCGGCCCACGGGAGACCCTGGGCCCTGTGGGGGCTCACTTTCAAGATAAGCTGGAAATCTGGAGATGTCCCGCCACAGGTAGTGTTCCACGCGGAACCACGAGCGTGTGGATGTGAAGTCAGCACAGCCCATGGGTAGGTGCTGGCCTACAAGTAGTGGGTGCGACCTGCCTGCTTGCGTCTTCCTGGTTGGGGGCTCGGGGCTGTATGCACCCTGTGTTCCCCGGTGTGCAGGCGGTCTGTGCCTGGCAGGACCCTTCCTCCCTAGCACCTGGAGCTTCTGTCTTCCCAGTGGTGCCCCATCACCCAGTCCTGGCATGGAGCTCTGCCAGGACTCCAGTCTTGAGATGCCGGATTTGAGGCCAGGAGGCCTGCTGGTGACCATAAACCATGGGCAGGGTTCCCACGGTGCTCACCTCCTCAGGGACCCACCGGGGGCCATCCTGCCCTTCTCTGCCCATGGCTTCCCTGGCGGGGGAGGAACCCTTCCCCTCAGAGGCTTGGAGCTCTGGCCTCAGGCGGCCCTCCCCTCCCCTTCCGCGCCCATCCAGGCCTGCCCTTACCTACTTACCACTGGAAAGGACCCCAAAGGATGACAAACCAGTCCGGCTATGGTGGCTTAATAGGTACAATTGCTCAGGGCTGTGGGCGTTTTGACAGTGACAGAACTCAAGGATTTGCTTTAGAATATCAGGCCTCAGGGACTGCTGCATAGAACCAAGGCCATTTGGGGGGAGTGGGCAGCAGGAACGCTCAGGGCAGCAGTTTCCAAATTTTTTGTAGCATGTTAGGATCGCCTGGGAGCTTTTGCCTGTTATACTCCACACCCCAAATCCGTAAGTCTGAGGATGGCAGCAGCTTTCTGAGATCTCAGACTGGGGTGCCTGGGTCAGGTGTCTGGTTCTTAATTTGATCCAGGTCATGATCTCGTGGTTCGTGAGATCAAGTCCCCCATCGGGCTCTGTGCTGGGCATGGAGCCTACTTGAGAATGTCTCTCTTGCTCTCTCTCTCTGCCCCTTCCTCACCCCTCACAAAAATCAAAAAAAAAAAAAAAAAAAAAAAAAAAATCCCAGGTCTTTCCGATGGGCATTCTCACCTGGGAACCACTGTCAGAGGGTGTAAACATCAGGCTTTGAGATGAAACAACTGGATGTGGGGTGTCGTCTGGCCTACATAACTGGGATTCTGGGTTCCAGGGGCTTCGTTTAAATCTTGCCATAGCCCTAGGGAGGAGGGGGAGGGCCTCAATTTTGCGGGTGAGGGAACGGAGTCACAGGGGTTTAGGGAGGGCCGGGACTGTGCTCGGCCCCGACCCGGTGGTCAGGCTGCCGGCTGGAGATGCTGCCCATCTCATCGGGACCAGGGTGCCTGGGCCTCCAAAATCCGGGGACACATTTTCATAGTTCAGGTGAGGGCTGGAGCCCAGGTGAAGGAAGGTTAGTTGGGTCCCTGGGAGGCCTCCTTCAGCCAGCGGGTTTAAGAAATTCCACAGTTTCGGGGCGCCTGTGTGGCTCAGTTGGTTAAACGTCTGACTTCGGCTCAGGTCATGATCTCACAGTTTGTGGGTTTGAGCCCCGAGTCGGGCCCTGTGCTGACAGCTCAGAGCCTGGAGCCTGTTTCAGATTCTGTGTCTCCCTGTCTCACCCTCCCCTGCTCATGCTGTCTCTATCTCTCTCAAAAAAAAAAAAAAAAAAAAAAAAAAATTCCACAGTTTCTATACAATTATTAAAAATGAAGTCTTTGGAGAATTTTAATGACATGGAGATGATGGGAAGATAGAGAATTAGGACACACAAGAAAGGACACCACACATTTAAAAAAAAAAGGGGGAAACCACACATAGCATGACCTCAATTATATAAGCTGTGCGCACATGCATATGTGTCTTCCTGGGTAGAATAGAGACTTTAGAGAAAAAGAAAAAAAAAAAAAAGATGTAGAAGTAAACCCACCATCATTTTTAACAGGTTATTTCTGGGGCCATGAGATTTTGGATGATTTTTTCTTTTTAACTATTCCTTATTTTCCAGATTTTCTACAACAACTATTATGTGTACAATCAGAAAAAGCTAAAAGTATATGATAGGGCGCCTGTGTGGCTCAGTCGGTTAAGTGTCCAACTCTTGATTTCAGCTCAGGTCCTGATCTCACGGTTCATGAGATTGAGCCCCTTGTAGGGCTCTGCACTGACAGCACAGAGCCTGCGTGGGATTCTCACTCTCAAAATAAACATTAAAATAAAAGTATCTGCCATTGATAATGTGTTGTGGTTCTGTGTGTGTTCTTTAAGCCCCTGTCTTTTAGAGATGTGGACTAGAATATTCACATCTGAATTAGTCTCTGATTTGATTAAAATGAGAGGGACATGGCGGATGGGGACAGACACGAAATACACCCCACGCTGAGTGGGTAATGGCCACATGGGGGTTCACTATCTACTATTCTCTTTAATATATGGAAGACATTTTCTGTAATATGGAATTTTTAAAATATGTACATTATATAAAATATACATGTGTAATAGATAAAATGATATATGTTTGTATGTGAACAAAGTTTAAAAAACCTTAACGATCCACTTTCTTTGTCAATGTTTCTATGGAAACATTATGAAAGTGCTTTTGGGTTTTCTATTGAGAAGCCATTTCCTTAGAGAGAAGCCGAATGGCCTTCAGGGTAGTCCCCAGCCCCAACCACAGGCGCCAACTCCAGGGGACAGGAAGTTCCCTTTCTGTGCAGGGAGGCAGCCCCGGGTATCTGTGCTCTAAGTGAGGTCACTACCCACTTCTGGAAGCCAGGTCAAGGCCTTCCACCCATGTGGACCCGGAATCCCCCACCTGCTAAATGGGCCACTGTGAGCCCAGCCTTCCCGAACGTTACAGGAGCAGGTGCACATGAAAGCTCTGGGCAGAGAACCAAAGAACATGGATTCCCTCAGAGGCTGAGTTCTCTGGAGGCCTGGGGCACCAGCAGGGAGCTCTGGGCAGAGGGGACAGCCCTGGGGCGGGGTCTGAAGGTAGTGTTAGGAGAAGACCTGACTGCTCAGTAATGTGTGCCCAGTGATGTGTCCTTCCCGGAACCTGAAAGTGATAGGAGGGTGACCCTGGCCTTACCCACCCTGAACTGAACTCAGGGAATAAGGGAACAGGATTATCAATCTTGCTTCTTTAGGGCAATCCACTGGGAGAAGTTTCTCTCAGGCCCCAAAGCCTATGATCTCTAGGCTTTTCCTGGGAATTTGCTTGTTTCCATTATGGAGATTATGAATCTTAGAACAGATCATGTTTCTGTTTTTGCTCTGGCTACTGGGAAGCTCCAAGCTCTCCCACCTTCCTAGCACCCTATTGATTTTGCTTCTCTGTATGAACTCAATTTTGTTTTTGTTTTTGGCCTCCAAATGGTTTTCCTGAAAGCTATATCGTATTTTTGGAAGGAGACCGCTATAAGTGAGTAAGCAAAACAACACTGTGAAATTTGGGATTCATGTTAAGAGTCCTTCTGTCTAAACACGTTTACTGTTTTGTTTTGTTTTGTTTTGTTTTTAAGCCTCACAACATCTCCTTGAACGAGTAGGTGGGTGATTTCTTCCCTCACTTTTCTTCTTTTTTGATTTTTAAGGTTGGGTTTCATTCTTAATAAGTTGTGTACGCACGCAAGTTTCCAAGAGTCAAATGATTCCTGTCACAAAATGACAGCAGCCTCCTCACACCCCTGCCCTCATTTCCTGTTCCTCAGAGGCAACTACTTGGAATTCTCAAGAATATGCTGATGCTGCTACTTTTGGACTTTTCAGCTTGGGCCACTTTTTATGGACTTCCCAGTATGAAGACAAAGATTTTATTCTCTTTCAGATTCCCCTTCCCCATTCCCACAATGCTTCTTTTCGATGCCCCCTCCCCTGTTCCCACAATGCCACAGCCCTCAGCACTAAGGCTATTTTGACTACATCTGACTACATAGAAACTGGGGAGAGGTGTGCGATGTAGCATGCGGGTCATTTTCCCTTTCATCTTCCGGGGAGTCTGTCTCTCTCCTTAGTTTTACCTCCCACCCCCATCTGACTGGTGGGGGACTTGGGTCCCACAGCACACTGAGGTCCTGCCCGGCTTCTCTTGCATGTCTGCCAGATGAGGCATCCCCAAGCCCCCCTGCTGGACCCTTCTGGGGGAGACCTAGCTTGCTGTCTCCATGGCTTCCACTTCCCTCCGAGGAAACAGAGAACTCCCGAAAGTCACAGTTCCCTGAAACTCACCTGGAACGAGCCAAGGGCCAATTCAAAGAACAGCTGGACCTCCATGGCGTCCTCTGGGGAGAAGGCGAAGATGATGTAGTGGACTCCGAAGAGGGGGATCAGCAGGAGGGTGGACTTGGCCAGGCGCCTGCAGACACAGACCCAGACCCACTGCCTTCCTGCCCCCTGCCCCTAGGGTGCAGCTCCGCATACCCAGCCTGCCTGACTTGCCCGAGGCCAGCGGATGTGCCCCAGGACCTTTGTGGTTCGACTTTTTATTCTGGAGACTATCTAGCTCCCATGGCCAGTCCCCAAAATTTCTGGACATGCACCCCGTCAGTATATAAAATTTGGACACGTATCTACCTGAACTTTATTATTTATAGGTTATGTGCATGTGTTATCTAACACATGATTCACAAAGCCAGCATTCTTTCTTTCTTTTCTTTTCTCTTTTTCTTTTTTCTTTTTTTTTTTTTTTTTGATAATAAATACCTATAAGAAGAAGTTCTTTTCTTCTCAGATCAGGGTTGCTCAGTTTAGCAAATAAAAATACAGGATGCCAGCTCAATTTGAATTTCAGATAAACAGTGGATAATGTTTTTTTGGAGCAAGTACCAAAACATTATTTGTTGTTTATCCAAAATCCAAACTGAACTGGCCATCCTGGATTTTATCGGGCAGCTTTATCCCGAATCTCCAATCTCTGGCTCCACCTTACTTCGGAGCCCACGGCTCTAAAGATGTCCTGGAGAATCTGTCACCAAGTGAGCCGGGTCACAGCCAGATTCGCAAAGCTCGGAACCTCACAGAGAAAGCCCTTGTTGGACACTGACTTGTCTTTAACTGTTCTGTGCTGAATTCTGTCTCCCCAGCCCAAACTCATAAACTGAAGCCCTAACTGCCAGGACCTCAGAAATACCTCTTGCTCCTTGCAGACAGGACCTAAAAAGAGGTGATTATGTTAAAATGAGGCTGTTAGGGTGGGACCTTAGTCCAATCAACTGCTGTCTTATAAGAAGAGGGAGAGACACCAAGGACCAGGGACAAGGCAGCCACCTACAAAGTAAGGAGAGGGGCCTCAGAAGAAATCAAACCTGTCGGCACCCTGATCTTGGGGTTCCAGCCTCCAGAACGGAGTAAATACATTTCTCTTCTTGAAGCCATTCAGTGTAGGTCATAGTTATGGTAGACCTAGCAAACTGGTACGGGCGTCTCCCTTTAAGTCATAAAGGTTTTAAGAGTATTTGGGGATCACATATCTTGAAAATCTGGTGAAAGCCATTCTCCCTTGAAAAATACACAGATCTATATCAATGTCCTTGAAGTTGGGTCCCCAAAACCCATCAGGAGACTCCCTAGCATTGCCCCAAGCACAAATCTCTGCTTCCTGGGATCCCGAGAGATTTCTTATCAACCCAGCACTGGGGCAGCTGTTTCAGGCTGCACAAAGGACCCATTGCACCCCCACCCTGCCCCCATTCCTATTTACATTTGTAACCTCCTTGGAACTGGATCCCCTTGGGTAAACAATAGGCACTCAGGAAATACCTGCTGACTGAGAGGGCCTCTTGGTCTTTGCCCTCTACTTACTTATAATGGTTCACTTCATTGCCTCTTGTCTCTTGGGTTCTAAGTTTTCTCATCAGGATTCTTAGAATGTTTATAAAAAGGATGAAATTAATCTGTAAAACACAAGACAGAGGTGGGGCTGAAGGTGATTGCCACCCCTCCAGACCCTGACCCCTGGACCTGAGGGTAGAGAAGGACCATGACGGGATTGCATCACTGCGCACCGCCCACCTCCCCTGCCCCAGGGTCCTGGTGGAGCAAACCTAAGGGAGGTGATGACTGACCCCTGCACCCACGCCTACCCCCAGGCTGCTGGGGCTCTGAGGTCTGCTCACTGCATCAGGGATTATTCACACTGGGAGTGCACTTAAAACTCTGGAGACTTTAACAGGAAGGTTTCAGGTGACCTGAAAGTCTCTATTTCTATCAAGCTCCAGAGAATGCCAAAGCCGGTCCTCGACTACACTTTGAGTAGCAAGGCTTTCTTCCAGCAGAGGTTTCGCTTCTGTTGTTTTAAGGTCTATTTATTTTGAGAGAGAGAGCTCAAGCAGGGGAGGAGCGGGGCGGGGGCGGGGGGAGGAAGAATCCCAAGTAGCTTCTGCACTGTCAACGCAGAGCCTGATGTGGAGCTCGAACTTACGAACCATGAGATCATAACCTGAACCGAAACCAAGACTCAGATGCTTATCAACTGAGCCACTCAGGTGCCCTGCCAGCAGAGGTCCCTAGGGTTTAGGGTATGGCCTGGGGATGGGAGCTGGGGTCCCTCTGCCCAGAGGTTATAAATCAGTAAATCTGGGGTGGGGGGGTGGGGTCCTCAAGAATCTGCGTGTTTAACAAGCTCCCAAGTGATGCAGAAGCTACTGCCTGGGGATCCTACTTTGAGAACCACTGTTTCGGAGCTTTACAGCATCACTTTGCAGTTCGATCACTGACTCCAGGAAGCCACCCTTGATCACCCCTCTTTCCTGATACACTGTAGTTAGGAACCATGTTACGGGGTGAGCACCAGAAAGAGGACAAGGGCATGCGTCTCTCAAACTTGTGTGTGTCCACTTATCTGCCAACCCAATCACCACTTCCTAAAGGACAGGAATGTAGTCTGTATATTTCCTTTGGGGGTCCCTTGCCCAGTGCCAGAATGTTCTAAAGTTGCCTTCATGGTGGTAACTCGCCTCCTCTCTCACCCACCTACTGGCTCCAGCCCCATTTACAGAAGCAGGGATCCTGGGAATTGCCCAGCCGGGCACCCTCATAGTCACACAAACAGCCCAGGGCCTGGGGAGGGGGGGGTGCATGCTGGTTGGAAGACCAGGATTGGGGGCCTGGCCCTGCCTAGCTGCTTCTTCAGGAACATGCTTCTCAGCTTGCTGGTTATGCATCTTGCTCAGAGCTGGCTACGCATGGGGTAAATGAATAAAGGCTATCCACCCCCCCCTTTTTTTTTTGTCTTATAGTTGGACTTAATTTATGAGGGAGCACTGGAAGGCAGAAAAAAAAATCTTTAAGATCTCAAGAATGAGTACTAAATACTGGAATCCCAGGTCCCGTGACCAACTGGTTGGGAGTTTTAAGTTCTTACTTAAGTAATCTTTGCACCCAATCTGGGGCTCAAACTCATGATCCTGAGAATCACAGCTCTTCCTTTTTTTTCCTTTTTAAGATAAACCTTTTTTATTTTTATTTTTTTTTAATGTTGATTGATTTTTGATAGAGACAGAGACAGAGCATGAGGGCGGGGAGGGACAGAGAGAGAGGGAGACACAGAATCTGACGCAGGCTGCAGGCTCTGAGCTGTCAGCACAGAGCTCAACGCGGGGCTTGAACCCACAAACTGTGAGATCACGACCTGAGCCGAATTCGGACGCTCAACCAAGTAAGCTACCCAGTCACCCTAGTCCCGTGGTCTTCCAACTGAGCCACCCAGGCACCCTTGTTGGGAGGTACTTTGCATCAGGAGTGCCCACCAAACATCATCCCTCAATCACTAGATAGACCACAGTCCATGAGCTCCGCCAGGACACCGGGGCCCACTGTCCCTCTGCTGGGGCTCTCCTGGGCTGGGCTATCAGGCTCTCAGAATTCTAGCAAGGAAACTGGCCTAACTAAATGAGGAAATGCCTTCCTGGGGGAATATGACGCAGTCAGAGCACACCGGTTGATTAGATCATTTCAAGGGCCACAGGACACCTCACATCTCTTGCTAAGTGAAAGAACAAACTAGATTACAAAACTATATTAAGCATTTTGAAAAAAGTATGTGTGCTCAAAGAAAAAGGAAAGAAAAGCATATGTGTATCCATAGTGTGCATCTAGGTACTCAAAGTATGTGTGACTTTATTCCGTTTGGAAAATACACATTTTTGATCTTCCAACTTTTCCTTTTACATGAATTCTATTATTTAAAAAAGAGGGGGGGCACATCTAGGTGGCTCAGTCAGTTAGGCATACGACTCTTGGTTCAGGTCATGGGATCCTCACAGTCGTGGGATCAAGCCCCATGTAGGGCTCTGTGCTGACGGCATGGAGCCTGCTTGGGATTCTTTCTCTCCCTCTCTCTCTCTGTCTTCCCCTTCCCTGCTCACACAGGTGCACTTGCTTTCTCTCTTGAAATAAATAAACAAACATTAAAAACATGTTCAAAAGGGGCACCTGGGTGGCTCAGTCGGTTGAGTCTATGACGTTAGCTCAGGTCACGATCTCACGGTTTGTGAGTTTGGGCTCCCTGCTGTCAACCTCTATCTCCCTCTCGCTGCCCCTCCCCCCACTTCAAAAAAAAAATTTGTTTTAATGTTAAAAAAAAAGGCAGTTATGAGATGGTTCCTTCACCCAACTGCCCCTAAAAGGTCATCAGCCAGCCAGTGGGGACTCAGCTCCAGGGCTCCCAACCCCGACTGCAGTGGAGAAGCACTTGAGAACTTGAACCAGAGACTAGTGCCCAGGCCCCTCCCCAGAACGAGAGCAGAACCTCTGGCTGTCAATATATATATATTTTTAATGTTTATTGATTTACTTTGAGAAAGAGATGGGGAGAGGGACAGAGACAGACCCGGGGAGAGAAAGAATCCTGATCTGGCTTTGCCTGTCAGCGTGGCGCCTGATGCAGGGCTCCAGCTCACAGCCCGTGAGATCATGACCTGAGCTGAAATAGAGTCAGATGCACAGCGACTGTGGGACCCAGGCGCCCTGGCCACCAGGGTTGTTCTACAGCACCCAGGGGGTTCTGGAGGGCAGCCCAGTTGGGACCCTTGGGGCTCCCCATCCTTAGTCACTCCTGTATCTCCTCCCCAACCTCCCACTGGCACCCCGAAGGCCAAGACCACGCCTCACTCAGCTTTTCTCAGCTGAAGGGAGCCCTGTGTCTTGGCCTTGTGTCCAGGCCAGTCACTGCTCCCTTCTCTCCCACCAGAGCCCAGCTCAGGAAGATGGCCGCTCACCAGGATGGAGAGGATCACAGGCCCTCGGATGACCCACCAGATGGATGCGTTGGCATTGATGTCCCAGCACCTGTGGAGGGACAGCCAGGCATCGTTAAGCCTGGAGGGCTGAGCCAACCTGGAAGGACTAGCCCTCTGAAGAGGCTTTCGTATGAACGGCCCACGCTGGTGACCCTGAGTATGACAGGCTGGGCACCAGGCATTATCAGAACTGACCCTCTGCTGAGGCCCAGGAGCGCTTCTGAGGCTAACGAAGCACCCCCCCCACCCCCCACCCCCACCCCGTCTCCATGCACACCCAGTCAGTGTCTGGGGCAGCAGACGTGAATGGGACTTGAGAGCCAGAAGATCCCGGATCCCAAAGCTAGCACGGTGACAAACTCTCGACTGCTCACTACGGCCAGGCAGGTGACCTCAGTGAGCAAAGTGGCTGGATGACTCACATGTGACCACAGGACCCTAGCATGTTAGATGTGGAGTGGGTCCTTGGCAAATGGGAGAGCATGTGCATGGCTTCAGGAGCCACAAGGCTCCTTCAGCTGATTTTTGCCACAAGGAAAAATGAGAAACGTTGGTAGAACTTCTCATGCTTTCCAAAGAAGCTAAAAATCCAGATTTTTAAAAAAAATAAAATTCACCCAATTAAAATAATTCTTTGAAACCATTATGTTGGGCCGTATTTGGATTCCAAAGCATTTGTAAGCCTAATCCAACCTAACATGCACACTGGCCTGGCCAGGTCGGTATCGCGAAGAGAAACTGCCTCTGAGAGGCTCTGTCACTGTCTCACTTTCTCCCAGCTTCTTTCTTTCCTTTCTTTTTTTAAAAAAAAATTTAATGTTTATTTATTTTTGAGAGACAGAGCACAAGCAGGGGAGAGGCAGAGAGAGAGGGAGACACAATCAAAAGCAGGCTCCAGGCTCTGAGCTAGCTGTCAGCACAGAGCCCGACCCGGGGCTCGAACCCATGGACCATGAGATCATGACCTGAGCCAAAGTTGGGCCCTTAACCGACTGAGCCACCCAGGCACCCCTTTCCCAGCTTCTTTCAAGCCTTCTTTCCATGTGCCTCCTTCCCAGTAGGCCCTCCTGGGCTTATCTCCGTCCTCAGCACCTGGCATCTCGAGAGAACAAGACTAGATCTCATGTCCCTGTGGGGAGCCGGCAATGCGACTGCTGCTCCTGGCCCTTCCCCTGCTGGACTCTCAAACCCCCCCAGGCCGCGGGGGGGGGGGGGGGGGCAGGACCAGAGCGGGGAAGAACCAGGAGGAAGGAAAAGCTGGCTTGGCCCAGAGCTTCTTTACAGAGCAGCATCTGCCCTTCCCACGGAGCCCACAGGGCAGGCAGGGAGGGAGCAGGCGCGGGAGGGTGCAGGGGCGGCGAAGGCCGCAGCCCATCTACAAGCTCGCACCAGCCCAGCACCCCAGAGAACTCGCCTGTGGCCCCTGGTGTGGAAAACAGGCCTCCCCTACACAGCTCCCAACCAGTGTCCGTCCTGTTTGAATACACACTCGTTACCTCTCCTGCAGACACTTACCCAACGTCTTCCAGAAAGTGCCTGCTGATGGCCCACGAAGCAACAAAAACAGCTGGGGAACCTGCAGAATCAAAATAAAGGCGGGGGCAGGAGAGAGGGGAGTCAGCTGTTAACACCCACACGGGCTCGGGGACAGTTGTCCCAGCCCAGCCGTGAACAGGGGCACGGGAACCCCCTTGGAAACCCTGTGCAAATGGGTAGCTTCGTGCCTCAACGGCGGCGGGGATGCCCTGGGAACTGAGGCAGATTCCTGGGGATCTTGAAGGCCAGGAGGGGCTCAGAGGCTCATGGCCAGACTCACGAGGGCCCCTGCTGGGAAGAGGGGTGGAGTGACAGTCTACACCTGTGGTGTCCTGTGCAGGGGCCACTGGCCACACCTTGCTAGTGAGTACTTGACATGTGGCTGGTCCCAGTGGAGATGTGCTATTAAGTGAGGGACACCAGATTTTGAAGATTTAGTAGGAATAAAAGGATGTGAAATGTGTTAGTTTTTTTATATTAAACATATGTTGAAGTGACAATCTTTTTACACCGGGTTAAATAGATTAAGATTAATTTCACCTGTTTCTTTTTACTGTGTTTACTGTGACTACCAGAGAATTTTATTTATTTATTGTTTAAGCTTATTTTGAGAGAGAGAGTGGGGGAGGGGCAGAGAGAGAGGGACAGAGAGAGAATCTCAAGCAGGGATGCCCGATGCAGGGCTTGAACCCCCAAACCACGAGATCATGACCAGAGCCAAGTTGGACGCTTAACCAACAGAGCCACCCAGGTGCCCCTAAAAAATTTAGGTTATATGTGTGGCTCATTCTATTTCAAGTTTATTTATTTTGAGAGAGAGCAAGGGGGAGGGGCGGAGAGAGAAGCCCAAGCAGGCTGCGTGACTCGAGGCTCCATCCCACAAACTGTGAGACCGTGACCTGAGCTGAAACCACAAGTCAGATGATTTTTGAAGACCAACTGAGCCACCCAGGTGCCCTGGCTCATTCTATCTCTGATGGATAGGCTTGTCTGCACTTGAACAGTGAGAGCCACGCCCCCAGGCTGCTCCATTTTCAGACTTCCAGAGGCCAGGTTTATACTCTAGCTCCAGCCCTCTACACGCACCTCCAGCCCAGGGAAGAGATCAAAGGAGTTTTTTTCTGCAGGAATCAAACAGCCCCAGACAAAGCGCCCACAGATGGTGATGCCGGGACCCCCCCAACACAGAGGCCACCTCCCGGGCAGTCTCCCAGAGACATGTGAAGTACACCCCCCCACCCACCCCACACACAGGCCCTTCAGTCAGCTCTCAAGTGACTCACTCTTCTTTTTTATATTTATTTATTTATTTTTTGGGAGAGACAGAACATGAGCAGGGGAGGGTCAGAGAGAGAGGGAGACACAGAATCCAAAGCAGGTTCCAGGCTCTGAGCTGTCAGCACAAAGCCTGACACGGGGCTCGGGCTCACAAACTGCGATATCATGACCAGAACTGAAGTCGGACGCTTAACCAACTGAGCTACTCAGGCGCCCCATTCTTTTTTGTTTTTGTTTTTTTTTAAGTTCATTTATTTATTTATTTAGAAAGTATGCAAGCAAGGGAGGGGCAGAGAGAGAGGGAGACAGAGAATCCCAAGCTGGCTCTGGGCTGTCAGTGTTGAGCACCACTGGCTGAGACACTTAACAGACTGAGCCACCCAGGTGCCCCCGAAGTGACTCATTCTTTTTTTTTTTTAATGTTTATTTATTTTTTGAGAGTCAAGTGGGGGAGGGGCAGAAGAGAGGGAGACACAGAATCCAAAGCAGGCTCCGAGCTGTCAGCACAGAGCCCGACGTGGGGCTCGAACTCACGAACCGCAAGATGGCGACCGGAGCTGAAGTCGGACGCTTAACGGACTGAGCCACCCAGGCACCCCCGAAGTGACTCATTCTTAAACAGTCAAGGTCACCAACATCTGAGGAAAGCAGATTACCTGCAGGACAGGGACCAAAACAATCAGAGAGAAGGAACCCAAAGGAAACAGACCATGCAGGCAGCCAAGGAACTTGAACAAAACAGCTCTAAGGAATAGCATCGGAGAGATAAAAGATTACCTCTGCAAGACCCAAACAGGAAGCTGGAAACTGGGAGCATTCCAAGAACAGGGAAGAGGGCTTGGAAATCGACTATATGATAACTAAGATTAAAGAAACCCACAGATGGGTTGGAAGATAAAGACCAAGAATCGCCCAGAAAGCAGGACACAAAAGGCATGTAATGAAAAGCTGGAGGGAAGAAATGAGAACATCAGAGGTCAGTTGCAGGACGTGGGACATCTGATTAAAAGGTTCAGAAAGAGAGGATAAAAACCAAAGGCAAAGAAATCAAATAGGTGCTGTAAGAACATTGTCCAGGCAATGAAGGGTGTGAGTTTCCAGATGAAAGGGGTGCCGGATGTCAACAAAAAGGAGGAAAGCAGCTCTCGTGGGGGCACATCCCGATGGCATTTCAAAACACGGGGGACAGAGAGAGGATCCTGTAGCTTACATTGAGTCAAAATGCTCGGGAAACAATAATACGGTACATCCTGTAACACCAGATGCCCAAACAGAAGGTCTCCAAAATTCTGGAGGGAAATGATTTTTCAACCTAATTTCTATGCCTCGCAAACCCACAAATTAGATATGAAAGTTGAAAAAGATATTTTCAGATATGCAGTGCCAAAACATGTGCTTTGCACGCACTCTGTGTTAGAGACGCATTGGCATGTATGCCCCAGCACAACCAGGGAGCAGAGCCCAGAGAGGAGACACGAAATAAAGGAATAGGATTTGTAGGGGAAAATGAAGGAACTTCTCAGCACGAGGGTAAGAGAGTGGAGTCAGTCTAGGGAACAACCAACCCCAATAGCACAGAAGGCTCTAGAAAGAACACTCCTGGGTCCATTGGGTGGAAGAGCATCCTTCCTAACTTCATAACTACCCAGAACTTTGGAGTGTGACCTTACTTGGAAATAAGGTCTTTGTAGGTATAATAAGTTAAGCAGAGGTCATACGTGGGGAGTTGGGGGGGCGGGGCCGCGTGCTCAGTTGGTTGAGCGTCTGACTTCGGCTCAGGTCATGCTCTTGTGGTCTGTGAGTTCGAGCCCCGGGTTGGGCTCTGTGCTGACCGCTCAGAGACCGGGGCCTGCTTCGGATTCAGTGCTCCCCCTGTTCATGCTCTGTCTCTCAAAAATAAATGAATGTTTAAAAAACTTAAAAAAAAGAAGAGGTCATACGTATGAGGATGCCAGTCATACTGCGCCCTAATAATATGACTGGCCTCCTTACAAGGAGGCCATGAGAGACACAGAGAGAAAGGACACATAGAGGGAAGAAGGCCACATAATGACGGAGACAGAAATTGCAATGATGCAGCCACCAGCCAAAAAAAAAAAAAAATGCCGAGGACTATCGGCAATAGTCAGAAGCTAGAAGAGAGGCAAGGAGCATTTCAGAAGGAATCTGCCCTGCCAGAACCTAGGTTTTGAACTTCCGGCCTCCAGAACTATGAAAGAATAAATGTCTATTGTTTTAAGCCACAAAATTTGTGGTAATTTGTTACGGCAACCCCTAGGAAACTAATCCAGGACGAAGAAACCAAACCAAGAGGAACTATAGATCTCCTGTGGGCCTTGGCTGATTTGGAATTAGAGGGTTTTCCGGTTTTGTTGGAGAATTCAGGGGAATTAACAACAGCGACACAAAACAATCAATTAAAAGTGACTCCATGAAGGGGCACCTGGGTGGCTCAGTCCGTTAAGTGTCTAACTCTCGGTTTTGGCTTAGGTCACGATCTCATGTTTAGTGAGTTCGAGACCCAGATCAGTCTCTGTACTGACAGTATGGAGCCTGCTTGGGATTCTATCTCTCCTTCTCTCTCTTTGCCCCTCCCCTGCTCACGCTCTCTTTCAAAAATAAATAAATTTAAACAAAAAGTGACTCTGTGAGAAACAAAAGGTTAAATATTAGAAGTAAAACCATTAGTTTACGCCTTGGCTTGGCAATAAACAACACTTACATAGACATAATGATATGTATGTTGACTAGAACTTAGCCAAAAATTAAAAACCTAATGGCAGGATGGAGGTGGTGGCTGGAGAATGTTATATCCTTACTTTCCATCATAAGGAGTCAAACAGTAATGCCTCAGATGGACAAATCAGGAAATAGCAGACTCTCGTTCAGAAACACAACAGTGAACATTAGAAGGGCCAGCTAAGGAATTCGAGGGTGTTACCTCTGGGGAGCAGAAGTGGGGGCAGGAGACTGCTTTCTTTCACCCTATTTAAGTCCTTAAACCAGGTATGTGCATGACTTTAATAAAAAGAATATTAAGAAAAAAATTCCCTGCTTTAGGGAAGGCACTGGGTGCCTGGGTGGCTCAGTCTATTGAGCGTCTAACTTCAACTCCGATCACGATCTTGCAGACTGTGGGTTCGAGCCCACATTGGGCTCTATGTTGTCAGTGTGGAGCCTGCTTCAGATCTCATCTCCCTCTCTCTCTGCCTCTACCCCATTTGCATTGTCTCTCTCAAAAATAAATAAACATTAAAAAAAAATTCCCGCCTCAATATTGAGTGTTTTCGGCAAAGAACAGGGGCTCTGAAGGGCTACCTGTTCGTGGTCTTCCATCTTTAACAGAGTTGGTAGAAAGTGGGAGAAGCGGTTATGCCTTGAGTTAGGTTCTCAGTGTGGTCCCCAGACTAACAGTATCAGAGTCATTTGGGGACTCGTTAGAAGTACAGAGCTTCTGGCTATACCCAAGGCCAACTGGCTCAGAGGAGAGGGCGTGGGGTCCAGCCAGCTGGGTTTGACATGCCCTCCATGTGACTCTGATACTGGCTTCACTTGGAGAACCACCAGCTCAGTGAGTGCGAGCTTGGTTCATCCCCATAAAAGCCAGAGGGGTCACCCTTTTCCAGTCACAGACTGACACCCCAGCACCTTGAGAAAAGTAAAAGTGTTGGAGAAGCATTTAAAACATCATAAATGTTCACTCCTTCCAACTGAGTGATCCTAGTTCTAAGATTCCATATTGCACATGGAAATGCGCTTTGCCCATAAAAGCATTCATCGCTGTGTAATCTACAATAGTGGAAAATCAGAAACAACCTGAATGTCCCAATCATAGGTATTGAGTTAAATATGTCCACAGACTAGTTAAAAATGTTTATGGCTGAGGCGGAATGATACAGAGCACGCTTCCATGCAAGTGGAAAGAAGCAAGATTCAAAATTCTCCGTACAGCATGAGTGCAACAATGTGGGGGAGAATATGGCGTAGGAACCATCTTCTGGAAGGAACCCCCCCCCCCAAATGTTCAACAGATGAGACCGAGGTTAAGCTCTTTTCTACTTAATTGGTTTTTCCTCTGCAAAGTCTTACAGTGAGCGTGTACTCATTTAAGCAACCTATCTCTGGGGAGACAAGTTGTGTAGAAATTGAGAAGGGGCCACTGCTTTTGCAAGAGAAAGGCTCTGGAAGATGGAGAACTTGAGACTTTCCTGAGTCCCTTCACGGTCTCCCAATGGCTGAGCTGGCAGAGAGCCCAGGAGGGGAGGAACCACTGTTTTCTGTGCAGCCTGGCATATCAGAGATGCTCAGTAAATATTTGAGGAAGAAAGGAAGACTTTCTAAACACTTGTGATTTTATCTCCCTCCACCCCCCACTATGCCTCCTTTATTAAGACTGAACCTTGGTCTACAGCCATACCACCCTGAACGTACTCGATCTTGTGTCAATGATGGCACTCTTTTGGTTTTGTTTTTGTAGTCTCTAGAAGCCCCTCTGAGCTCAAAGAAAGTTGAATAAATTATGATCCCGATATTATAGGTCATGAAAATGCCCATGTTCATACAACAATATCACGGCAGATCTGGGAGTCAAGATCAGTGAACTAGGTTCCCAACTGGGTGCTTTTTTCGGGTAGTCAACCGCATACGGCAAGTCCCCGGTGCCCCAGCCCTCTGGGACTACTGGCCTATGCAGAAATCCGAAGATCTGCAGGGCCCTACAGCTCCCGCTAGCCAAGGGTCATGTGCTAATTAGGCTGCCAAAGTCTACGGGAGGGCTCAGCGAGCTCTAGCAGCTCAGGTGACTTCCCTGATGTGAGGAGATAGGGCCTTTGTGTGTAAGGATTTAGACAAGCAGAAAAGACAAGGCATTCCTGGCAGGGGTACTTCTTAATTAAAGGCACCAAGAAGGAAGCAAGTGAAATTAATGGCTGGTACACATGACTATCCCTGTGAGCATGTGAGTCACTCAGAGGAACCTGGCTATCTTTCCAGAACCCACTGGGTAACTTATGTATGTTTATCAGATGAACAACTGGTGCATGGTTGAGTGGATAGATAGATGGATGGAAGATGGATGGATGGACAGATGGATGGACGGGTGGATGGATGGACAGATGAATCGTTGGATGTTCATTAATGGCAGAATAAGAGTTAAAGGCTCTGGAAACAGGCAGGTCTTGGTTTGAATCTTGGGTCTGCCCTTGTCTGCAGTGTGAGCTAAGGATATTACCTCACGTCTTTGAGCCAGATTTCTCAGAGAAGCTTCTGAAAGTTGTTGTGCCAATTAAATAATGCATGTAAAGTACTGTGCTCATAGTAAGTGCTCAGGAAATGGGAGTTATCATCTGCACTGATCAGAAAGGAAAGGAGGAAGAGATGGAATGGAGCCCGAGTTGGCTTTCTTACTACTATGTACCTCCTTCCTACAAAGGAACCCTGAATTTCCTTTGGGAAGCCATGTGGTCTGATAGCTGAAGCCAATCAGTGTATCCCATTCCCTCAGGTCTCTGTGATTGGTTCAAGGATGTGTATGAAACGAAGTGGTCTAATCAGGGTGAAACTCAGAGTATTTGCTGAGAATTTTGGGATGGCCTTTTTCTCTCATTAGATGTAATAAGGAAGCTGGTGGCCTGGAAGCCGCTGGCAGTTATGCTGGGAGCACCAGCCTAATGACAAAGCTGATGCTACAGAAGGTGGAGTGGAAAGACACAAAGAAATGTTGTTGGCCTACTGGATCCAGCCTCACCTGAAGCTGGTGATCCCTGGACTTTTCACATAGATAAGCCCATTAATTTCTTTTATGCCTAAAGCCGATCTAAGCCAGATTTTCTTTCTTTTTTTTTTTTTTTAATTTTTTTAATGTTTTATTTCTAGGAGAGAGAGAGACAGCGTGAGCAGGGGAGGGTCAGAGAGAGAGGGAGACACAGACTGAAACAGGCTCCAGGCTCTGAGCTGGCAGTCAGCACAGAGCCCGACGCGGGGCTCAAACCCACGGAACCGTGAGATCATGACCTAAGCGAAAGTCAGATGCTTAACCAACTAAGCCACCCAGGCGCCCCCTAAGCCAGATTTTCTACAATCAAAAGTACCCTGATATAGAAAGGAAGAAAGAGTGAAAATATATGAAGGGAATGTCTAAGGAAGATGAAATAAGCATTGGATGGTATCAAATTGTAAGAGACTTTGCAGGGCAGAAATTGGGGCTAAATTTTAGCTGTTAACTCCCATTTGACATACAAATAAACCAAAGCCAGGCAACTTGAACAAGAAGCAACTTGCCTAGGGGCACCTCGGTGGCTCAGCTGTTTAAATGTCTGACTCTTGGTTTCAGTTCTCATCATGATCTCACGGTTTGTGGGTTCGAGTCCCACATAAGGCTCTACGCTGGCAGTGCAGAGCCTGCTTGGTATTCTCTCTCTCTCTTTCTCTCTCTGCCCCTCCCCTGCTCTCTGTCTCTCAAAAATTTAAATAAACATTTAAAAAAAAGAAGGGGTGCCTGGGTGGCTCAGTCAGTTAAGCATCTTGACTTCAGCTCAGGTCATGATCTCATAGTTTGTGGGCTTGAGCCCTGTGTTGGGCTCTGTGCTGACTCAGAGCCTGGAGCCTGTTTCAGATTTGGTGTCTCCCTCTCTCTCTGTCCCTATCCCACGTGTTCTCTGTCTCTCAAAAATAAATAAAGTGTAAAAAAATTTAAGAAAAAAAGAAGCAACAGCAATTTGCCCAAGATGACACAAGTTAGCTGACCTAACTACGTGTAGGGCTGGAACTCAAAACCAAATCCTCTGACTCAGTGCCCTTTCCCACATACACACAGCTGTTGTCCCTGCAGAGAAACATACCCCATCCAAGGGCAACAAATCCCTGGAGGCACTTCTTTTCTGAGAAGAAGGAGATGACGAGGAGCGTGTGCAGGTAGAGGCCTTCCACCAGCAGCCAGGCATAGTTGGCCATGATGCAGTACTGGAAGAAAGCCATGACCAGCTTACAGCCCACCTGGACGGAGAGAGGCCGGTGAGCCCCAGGCTAGGTAACGACAGGCGTCCCTCTGGTGGCCACCCCCAAAGGAAGGGACAGGGTGCAATAGAGGTCAGGCCGCAGACCGAGTCTCTGGGGTTTGCGGCCATCTCCTGTGGCCATCCATTATCAGAAGACTGGGCCCACAGAGTTCTCTAGAGGGTAGAAGTCCCCATGCCCGTAGGCTCAGTCAGAAAGGTTAATGGGCCATCACAGAAGCAGGAACAAGATTCCAACTCTGGAATGGGCTGCCAGGTGTAGACCTGTGTCAGATATTGCCCAGCTCCTGAGTTCCTCACATGTGGATGTGAAAAGAAGCCTAGAGAAGGGAAGGGATTTCCGAGCAAAGGGTTAACAAACTCCTTTCCATGCTCTTTCCCGGAAGCAGATGAAGGGATGTACTGGTTACGTCAGCAGGCAACACTGATGGTGAAAACGGCCCCTGACTGGGACACTGCACCTGTTCGGGGACCTCGAGACGCTGGATGGGGTCGCCAGGGTTGGCCTTGCCTGGTGCAGTGACATTACAGGCACGTTCTTGCAGGGATCGCTGGAGGCTATGCCTGGGGGGATGTGGGGCAGGGGACTTCTGCGCCAGCAGGGAGTCCCCTTTCCTTTTACTGAGCTGTCCCCTGAGGACAGGACAGCTCCTGGGCTGGCCCGAGGGCTGCTGCATGGACTACTTCGAGGTCACATCCACAGACGAGAGGCACCTGGTGCTGTCCTGCTGGCCAGCTGTGGTTCCTGCCTTATGGCCGCCCATAGACTCTGATTCCAGGAGGTGTCCCTGGTTGGCTCTGAGTCTGATGCTTAGTAGAGCCCTAGAAGGTTCCTTGCTGGGCATTGCTGGACTTCCCCACTTCCGGTCAGTGAGACGGTGGGGTGTGAGTATAAGTCTTCTGACTCCCACACTTACTTCATCCTGCCAATCTGCCTAAGGGACAGGGCCCTCCAGCAGGGACTGCTCAGGTTGAGTCAGAAAACACACACACACACACACAACTACAAACAGTACGAACTTAAGAGATCTGTAAGGAATCACAGATGTGAGTGTAGGAAGTGATAGGCAGGTTGACTGAACCAATCTCAATCTCCAGTCCCTTTCTCTCCTGTTTGCCTCTGCTAGGGAGACTATGATAGAAAAACAACAACAACGAAAAAAAGAAACACCTCAATCTCCCAACCTCCTTCGCAGTCAGCTGCAGTCACAAGACATGGTTCTAGCCCATGCAATGTAGATGGGAGTCTTGGGGTGAGGGTTCCTTCCCACTGTAAAAAGGCAAAGCTGCCCAGAGAGAAAACCTGTTTAATCTTGACTCTCTTTTTTTGCCTGGAACATGGATGTGAAGCCTGGGGCTGCAGCAGTCCTATTGTAAACATGCAGCGTAAAGCACGGAATCAAACATGGCGGAGCAGAAGGAGGGGAAATGACTGCGCCCGCCTTGGCATCATGGAGCCACTGTGCCACCTCTGGATTGGCCATCCGTGGGCTGCTTATGTGAGAAGCCACCCCCATCAGTTTAAGCCACGGATGTTCAGTTTCCTGTTATATGCAGCAAGGAGAGTCTCAACCAATAGAGTGATATTGCTAATAAGGCTCCTGTGAGCACTCAGGAGGAGGAAGGGGTTAGATTTCACAAAACGATTGGTGTCCTACAGACGTGTGTGCGCAGACATACACGAGGCATACGCTCATACTTTCCTTTCTACAACCAGCCTCAACCCTCTTTAAACTTCGCCATCTGTCCACAGCTGGGACTAAGACAAGCCTTGCTGTAGATCTAATTGTCACAATGGCTAACGCACTCCCAGATGCTGCGAGTTGAAAGGCAGACCCCAGGGGGTTCCTGACAAACTGCTCTCATACAGGACCCAGGCCGTGCATGGGGAGACAGGGAACCCTTCCTAAGCCTCCCGGCCGGGACCCAGCACTGGGCCCTCTCCTCTAAGCACTGGGTGCAGCCCCAGCAGGGACTTGCGGGAAGGGCTAAGGGGCTACCACCTCTCCAAAGTTAGGCTGGGGAAAGCGGGCAGCCCCGGCCACACCCCAGGGCACGCAGGCATGTTACCCTGTGGGCATCACAGTGAGCGACATCGTCCGAAGAGAAGAGCACCGCGTCCTTGATGAAGTTGGACAGGGCACGCAGGATGAAGGACACAAACAGGTGCATGTGGATGTAGTTGCGGGTGCAGTGCAGCCTCCTGGGGGGACAGAACGCAGGGCCGTAGAGGCGACAGCTATACAACGTCGAGGAAGCCTTTTCACCTTCCAGAGCCTGTTTCCTCCTCTGCTGGAGGGGTCAGAGTCTATTGCTTGTTCCTCTTCCCGAGCGAGAACCACGCTTTCTTACCCGGAACCCATCGCAGCTGCAGGTGGGGAGGACTCCACCCTCCCGCCCCGTCGATGGACTTGACCAATCACAGCACTCCATCCCTGGCTGCAGTGATTGGCTCAGGTTGGGCATGTGATCCAAGCCCAGCCTATGAGAACAACCCTCCCTCCTCCAGCCCCCAGGACCTTTCATTGCAACCGGTAGAGAAGAGGCTCACTGTGTCCAGGTGTTACCTAGCTGGTGGACTGTAACCCCACAGCCGCTGGTGGTTGTCCCCGCCACCCCTGCAGAGAGCCCGCCTGTGGATGAGGCCGAGGCCGAGTGGAGAAACGGGAAGAGACAAATCTGGTCCCGCTGATACCTTTGACCCCCTAGATCCAGCCATTCCTAAAGCCAGAGACCCCTGACCTTGTCAGTTATGTGCGTCAGGTCACCTTTGTTTACTTAAACCGTTTTAAGGTGGATTTCCGTTTCTTGCAACCAAGAGTCTGGCTAACATATTTGGAAAATGGGGGTCATAACACCTATCTTAGAGCATTGTGTGAAAATCAGAAATCGCTCATGGAAAGCAACTGGTGCCTTAAGTTCTTAGATACACTCAGTCAATGTTGAATGCATAAAAGAACGAACAGGGTCTCAGAGACATCAGTGTTTTGCCACAGGGAAGATTTGGATCAAGGGGTCCGAAGGGGTCAGAATCCGAAACACCCAGACCTTCCTTCCTCTGGCCTGAGCAATCTGAAGACAGCCCAATTCCGTGTCTGGGGAAGGCTATGGAGACAGAGGGCTGGCAGTGTGTTCTCACCGGAAAGCACAGAGGACGCTGAGGGCAACCAGGAGCATCACCAGAGAGGAGCTATAGCCCACGGTGTACATGACCTTCAGCTTCAGCAGGTACTCGTGCTGCAGAGAGAGGCATGCATCAGCCCCGGCCTCGCGGTATACCTGCTTAGGACGCTTGAGCCCTGCAGTGCTTAACGCTGTGCTGGTCAGACTCCACCCACATCAACTCAGAGACTCGGAACAACTTGGCTTTGGTAAAGATACTGGGAATCATCTGATGCCAATTCAAAGTTCTACCCCATGTGTAGGGCTGTAAGCTTACCCCCACCCTGAATTCAAGCCTTTGCTGGCATACCTCCAGGGATGCAGTGCTCACTGCCTTCTGCCTTTTGAGGAAGTCATCTGGGATACAACAGTGCGAAATAGTTGATAGTTTTTTCTCATGTGAGACTCAAAGCTATTTTAAATTGTAGCTATTGGTTCTGATTCTGCTTCTGGAGCCACTTAAACTGAATTTGTCTTGTACCTAAGACCTGTCATTATTGTTGTTTTTTATAATCTTTTTTTTTAATGTTTTATTTATTTCTAGGAGAGAGAGAGAGACAGCATGAGCAGGGGAGGGTCAGAGAGAGAGGGAGTCACAGACTGAAACAGGCTCCAGGCTCCGAGCTGGCAGTCAGCACAGAGCCTGACGCGGGGCTCAAACCCACGAACCTCGAGATCATGACCTAAGTGAAAGTCGGATGCTTAACCGACTAAGCCACCCAGGCACCCCTGTCATTATTGTTTTTAATTTAAAAATGTTTATTTTTGTGAGAGAGAGACAGAGCATGAGCTGGGAAGGGACAGAGAGAGAGGGGGAGACACAGAATCCGAAGCAGTTTCCAGGCTCTGAACTGTCAGCACAGAGCCCGATGCGGGGCTCGAACCCACAAACTGTGAGATCATGACCGGAGCTGAAGTCAGAAGCTTAACTGACTCAGCCACCCAGGTGCCCCTCTGTCATTATATATATTTTTTAAATAAACTTTTCATTTAGAATAGTTTTGGACTTCTAGAAGAGTTGCAAAGATCTTAGAGAGATCTGCCATTTCTTTCTTTTTTTTTTTAAATTATTTATTTATTTTTTTTAATTTATTTTTAGGAGAGAGAGAGAGAGAGAGACAGCGTGAGCAGGGGAGGGTCAGAGAGAGAGGGAGTCACAGACTGAAACAGGCTCCAGGCTCTGAGCTGGCTGTCAGCACAGAGCCCGACGCGGGGCTCGAACCCACGAACCGCGAGATCATGACCCAAGCGAAAGTCAGACGCTTAACCGACTAAGCCACCCAGGCGCCCCTGCCATTTCTTAATACAGCTTTTCTACTCGCTCATCTCTCCTGTATATTTTCAGCATTACATTTGGCCTGTGTCTTCAATATCTTTCCACAATCCTTTATCCTTCTGTTCAATTAATATGCTCCAATTTGTCAATATCCTTCCTGAATAAGACACCCAGAACTGGTAGCTGGAAAGCTCCAGTGTTTTCTCTGAACGGGAAGGAGTAGAGCGGACCATCACCTCCCCCAATCTGTACACTGCATTTACATTAATGCAGCCAAGCAGACATTTACTTAATGCAGCCAACAGCCACCTCACATTACTGACTCATCTTTGATTCAGAAAGATCTCAATGGAGGGGCGCCCGGGTGGCTCAAGTTGGTTGAGTGTCTGACTCTTGATTTCTGCTCAGTCCATGATCTCACGGTTCATGGGATTGAGCCCCCGTGCTGACAGCACAGAGCCTACTCGGGATTCTCTCTCTCCCTCTCTCTCTGCCCCACTCCTGCTCGTGCACGCACACACGCTTTCTCACTCCCTCTCTCTTTCAAAGTAAATAAACTTTAAACAACCAATACAACAAAAAAAGAAAGATCTCAAAGGAATGGATGTGAAGATAAATTTAAGACCTATATCTTTTAAGTTCAAAAAATAAATTGTAGACAATCTTAAAAAGAATCAAGAAAAGGAAAATTAAATCAACAACGCTATACTATCTGTTGCCAATCAAATTAACAAATATTTCATGGTAATAATATTCTATGAAGGCAAGGGTATAGTGGGAGCAAAAATTGCTTCGATCTCTCTGGAAAGTATCAAGAACTTTTGAGATATGCATTCCTTTGACTTCCTTTCTACCCCTAGGAATTAACTCTAAGAAGTAAGCACAAACGGAAACACATATTTATGTATCAAGATGTTTATCACAGAACTGTTTGTGATGAAAAGTACTTGTATGTCCAAGAACAGGATAATTAACTAAATTATTTTAAATCAAATTATTCTCATGGGATGCCACCATTGCAATGCAGCAGTGTACCAAGAGTTTTAAATGAGGTCAGAACATGCTGAGAGTGTAAAATTACGTGAAGAAGCAGAGTATAAGTTTTACATGTACAATGTGATTCCTCCTGTATGTTTTTAAAAAAAGTGTTAGGTTGCTTACATGAAATTGCCCGTTTTTGTAGATCAAATGATTGCATACCGGCCATTTCATGTGATTCGATCTCAAACATGCGTAGAAGAAAGATTATAAACAGATGTGTTAGAGGTTAACAACGGTTAACTTTGGATGATAAGTTTGTGGCTAGAGTGGTTATTTTTATTTGTATTTTTTCTAGGCTTTTTCTCCAGTGGGTAAGTACTATGTTATAATCAGAAGGAAAGGGTAATTGATTTAAAAAAAAAAAAAACAACAACAGGCACAAGAATAGTAGTGGGGAAACTTTGCGGACAGCTGTTCATATGAAAATGACCTTGAGGTTCAAATGGCCCAAGCTCTGTGGTGTTAAGAAATGTACTACAGAGAAAGAACACAGGCTTCAGAGCCAAGAGACAAGGGTTCCAAACCCACGACTGTTACTCACCAGCTGTGTGACCTTGGGCAAATTACTTAACTTCTCTGAGCCTCAGATTCCTCATCTGTAAAATGGGGATAACATCTACCTTGCAGGCATGTTGGAAGAACACATAGAGTATCAGGTAGAGTATCTAATGCCTGACACTTAGAAGACACCCGGAGCATGTTAATTTTCCCCCTCCTCCACCCTCTGCCCCCATCCTCTACCCTTCAACATAAGCCATCAGCCCAAGATTATGGTATGAAGTATGAGGAATAAGCTAGCTGCTAAAAAACATTAGGCCTGTTCTCAGTAACAATAATGAAGTATTGAGGGACAGCAGGCAAAGTTGGAATGTTTAGAGTGTTTCATCCAGCTCTGGGCATCATGCTATTTTAAGAGGCATATTAATGAACTAGAACATTTCTGAAGAAGGGAAAAGGGCATGAAAAAACTGGGCACATTATGCCCTGAGGAAACCAACCAACAAACTTTGGGAAGAGAGATATTAGAATGATTGGCAGGTGAGCTCCAGTGGGAGGAAGTTACCAGGAAGAAATCTGACTCGGAGTGACAAAAGTTTTCTGAAAGCAAGAGGTGGCCTTTGATGGGATGGCTGTCTTGTGACATTGAGCTTCCCCACTAATGTGACTGAGATCCCAGAAGACAGGACTTCCTCCCCCCTCCCCAACCAACACCACCAGGGACAAGAAAGAGAGCCCAAGAGGCCAGTAGGTTGCATTAGATCAGAGTGCCTAGACTTTGGGACATTAAGGAGCAGTCAAATGTCAAGAAATTAGAGGACCAAGGTGTCAGCCGATAGTCTTGTCATGGGCGAGAGGAGCCCCATCCTTGAGGGCATGAGCCTCACTCCTAAGGACCCTGGTTCTGCACCTCTCAGTTCAGAAACAGATTTGGGCCAGTCGGTGGCTGCGTGAGGAGGCATGGATGACACGTAGGGGTGTTCAGTGACATGTCCTGTGGCTGGGTTTATTGTCGTCAGGGGACCCTCAGGATGCCAGCCATCTCTACTTATTCCTGTGTTACATTTTTAAGTTCTGACCCAGAAACAGCCCTGCTCCCAGGAGGCCCAATAGGACTGAAGGGTGCCAGCCCTCGATAATCTACAAAAGTGCACCACTCCCCACACGGCTTCAGGCCCAGAAGCCCCAGCTCAAGTTGCCTGTCTCTCTGCTGTGTTTCCTGGCTGGGCCACTTTCCTTCTATATCCTTTAGATCAGGGTCAGCAGACTTTTTCTGTAAAGGGACAGCTAATAAATGTTTTAGACTTTGGGTGCCATTTGGTCTCCTGCAACTACTTAACTCTGCCCATGTAGTGCAAACAGGCTGTTTCTTTCTTTCTTTTTTTTTTTTTAATGTTTTATTTATTTCTAGGAGAGAGAGAGAGACAGCATGAGCTGGGGAGGGTCAGAGAGAGAGGGAGTCACAGACTGAAACAGGCTCCAGGCTCTGAGCTGGCAGTCAGCACAGAGCCCGACGCGGGGCTCGAACCCACGAACCGCGAGATCATGACCTAAGCGAAAGTCGTATGCTTAACCTACTAAGCCACCCAGGCACCCCAAGCTTCGCTATGTTTCAACAAAACTTTATTGGCAAAAGCAGGCGGTGGGCTGGATTTGGCTCAAACCTCTGCTCTAGGTAAGCAAACCTCAGTTGATATACCCAAACAGAGCCTGGTCTTTCTGCCAGTCTGAATCCACTCTTGGCTTTTGTCAATGGATGGAGTGGTATGTGCCAAGTATTGAAAAAAAGATGACCAACAAATGTATATTTCCATCATGACCATGTGATTAAAAGATAAAAAGGCATTTCAACAATAAGAAATAGGACGATTCAAATCTCTGAATAAAAGACAAAGGTTGTGGACCAACATCTAGGCACCAATAACTTGTGTGGTCTGGAAACACTCCCAATCTTAGGAATTTTAATTTTTTATATTTCTTATGTGAGCTGAAGCCAAGGTAAGTCTCCTTTCCACTACTTTTGGCCAATTAACATTCTGAGTGAGGCCCAAACTTTGCATTTATCTTTGTTAAATTTCAGTTCCTTGTTTGGAAATGCTACAGTTTCAACCCTGGATGAATATCATGGTTAAGGCCCTAGGCTTCGTTCTTCCACGGCTGATTAGTCTAAGCCAACAGTGTCTCTAATGTGCTTTCAGGAGACATAACTCACAAAAACAAGACCACCCTGGGGTCTCAGTAATTCTTTTTTTTAAAAAAATATATTACTTTAATGCTTATTTATTTTTGAAAGAGACACAGTGCAAGCAGGGGAGGGGCAGAGAGAGAGGAAGATGCAGAATCTGAAGCAGGCTCCAGGCTCTGAGCTGTCAGCACAGAGCCCAATGCGCGGCTCAAACTCACGAATCGTGAGATCATGACCTGAGCTGGAGTCTGGCGCTTAACCGACTGAGCCACCCAGACGCCCCCTCAATAACTCTCAAGAGTGTAAAAGGGTCCCAGGGCCAGAAGGTTTGAGAACCACTGGCCTAAGCCTATCTGTATCCCACCCCCTGCCAGGGACAGTCGAGGGGTGAGAAGGCTCAAGTCACTTTGGGCCACTGAGATGTGAAGACAGCTTGCTGGGGTTTGGTAAAGAAACTTTCTAGGGGCACCTGGGTGGCTCAGTTATGCGTCTGACTTCTGCTCAGGTCATGATCTCTTGGTTTGTGAGTTTGAGCCCTGCATCTGGCTGTCTGCTGTCAGCCCAGAGTGTGCTTTATAGCCTCTGTCTTCTTCTTTCCCTGCCTTTCCCCAACTTGTGCTCTCTCTGACTCTCTCTCTCTCTCAAAATAAATAGATAAATTTTAAAAAATTAAAAAAAACAAAACAAAACAGAAAACAGCAGCTCTTGCTCTCAGGAAGGAGCCATAGGAGCTTGGGCTATCCCTCCTCCGGGACAGGCAGGCACGGGGCAGTCTGTGGCTATGGTCACCAACGGCATCGTCTGACGTGGAGGGAGGTGCCAGCCTGGGGAAGGAGCCATGAGGACAGCAGGAGGAGAAATGGAAAGAACGTGGTACTCGGGCAGCTTCTTAGTGATGCTTTATTAAAGAGTCCTGAAGGCCAGTCTCTGCACCCCAAGTTCCATGAGCCACATTGGTTTACTAGGCAAGTTGGAAACTTCTTTCTTGCACCCCAAAGCATTCTTTTGAGCACTCATCATAAGAATGTTCCCTCTTAGTTTTATGGAGGGTGATACACGTAAACTTCCTGTCCTCATGTAAGTCCATGATGGAAATGGTGATCTGCAGGGATCAGAGCCCACCACCCCTCTGCGACCATCTGTCCCCACTGATCAATCTTTGTTGGGTCTTGTTATTAAATTACCCCACTCTGGCCAGATCTGAAGGCTTCATGTGTCTCCCCCCAACTGGATGACAAGCCCTAGGAGGGAAGAAACTCGAGTCATCAATGTGCTGCCCTCCCCGCCCCCCCCCGCCCCTCCATCAGCCTCTTTTCATACAGAGGACTGACTGGCTAGAGAGAGGAATCTTAGAAAAAGTTCAGAAGTGGGTATGGTCTGGGTCCCAACCTCATCCTTTCTCCCTTCGTTCTGCCGCGTGCCCCCCATGCTTCTCCAACACAACCCCCCCCTCCTCCGAGGGGCAAGCATGCTTCTCCATCCGTATTCCCACTGGGGAGTTTAACCCATGGAAACTGCAAAAGCACACTGTACATCAGGAAGCCGGCACACAGTAGGTGCTCAGTACAACAATAAACATTCATTGGGCACCTAGTAGGTGCCAGGCATTGTGTTGGGCACTGGGGGCCTGGAAACGAATAAGATTCTGATAGGTCCCTGCAATATCCCCACGCCTGGCTCACAGTAGGTGCTTAATACATGTTAAGTGAATTAATGCCTTTGAAGAGCTCGCACTTTAGTGAGAGAAACGGATGCCCGTGGCACATGCGGATGGTTTCATTTAACGTAGTAGGTAACAGTGGAGCCAACACAGCATATTAAGGGGGCCCTTCCTGGGGGTGAGGGGTGGGAAGAAAGGGCTTTCTGGAGTTGATGGGCAGGAATGAAGTCATGGAGGATGTGTACGAATCGGGCAGGAAAAGTGAGGACAGAAGGGTTCCCTGAGCCTCACGGACACTTTAAGGGAGGCCTCTCGAGACCCCCCAAGAGCTCCGTCCACAGCTCAGCGCCCTCTCTCAAACCAGACCTGCCCTGCAGCAGCTGGGCTCCCTTCTTCTCGGGTCAGAGCCCAGGTCTCCTCGAGAGCAAACATTCACTGAGCACTTACTATGACCGGGCACCCTTCTCAGCCCCTCCCTGTGGTCTCTTGCCCAGTCTGTGAGGTCAGAACCATCATTCGCTCCATTTCCCTGATGGAGAAACTGAGGCACAGAGAAGTTAAGTCCTCCCTACCCCACCCCCCAAGGTCACAGCCAGGATTACACTCACCAGTCTGGCTCCAGGCACTGAGCCACCTTGGCACTCTTTTGTTTCATGATTAATTCCCCCCCAGTCTCGTGGCTGCACAGGGCAGTTCTCACTGCCTTCACCGCCATCTTCACGAACACCATCTCCACACTGACAGACTCGGGCAGCGAGGCAGGCCCAGCAAACCCCGCATGATGAGCGGGGTGGGGTCCCGGGTCCCCTGACCCCGGGCTGGCTCCACTCTGTCCTCTCCCAGGGACTTCTCCCCTCCCCGCAGGCTCCCAGCCCGGGAAAGAAGGGTGCACAGGCTTACCCGCTTCTCATTGGATGAGTCGTTGACATTGACCCCGCAGGCCAGGTCGGGCCTGGGGAAGGCTTCTGACCAGCCGTCTTGTGTGCAGTTTCGAAACACGGAGCCTGTGGGGGCCGAGCATCCCGCAGGTGAGCAGTGGGGGCCGCAGACAGATGGCTGGGTGTCTAGGGTCCCCTCTGCCACACCCCCGGGGCAGCCTGGCCTAGGCTGATCGGTCCCAGCTGATCCTTGAAGAGCATGTGAGGAGACATGGTAGGAAAGGAATGCAGGGTGGTGGCCTCAGAAAGGGCAGAGACACAGAGGTGTGTGCACATGTGCAAGGGCGAGGCAGACCCGCTGGCCCTTGATGCCTCCATCTACAGACCAAGCCTGCTCTGAACAAATGCTCCATCCAGCCCCCAAGCACTATGCCTTCCTCCCCGGGCCCCACCGCCTCACCCACCCACCTGTCCCTCTGTGCCAGGACAGGGCTCCACAGACAAGGGGACCACATGACATATGTCACAGTCCCTTTCCTTCCTGCAGAACTTCCAGTCACCACTCCCCAGCCCAGCTTGCTGCCCCTAGGCCCAGCCTCACTCCAGGGCTCTCTTAGGCCCCGTGGCTGTCCCCTCCCACTGCACCCCTCTGCTTCCCTTCATGGCTTCAATCTCAACTCCAACGTCCCTCAACACTCCTGGAGGGACCTCCCCTCCCCATCCTCCACCCCAAATGGCTGAGGTGCCGCTGCTGGCTTTTTGTGGGTCTCTCCCAAACAGGGGGCTGCTCCTCCACCCCCTGGGGGTTCACCGGAGATAAATCATAAGCCCTCATGCTTTAAACTGGTGGGACATCAGTTCTCTTTCAAGAGATGGCCTTGTCCCATAGGATTTGAGGGGTCAAGTGTAGTGAGCAGTGCCAAGCGATGTTGATTATACACCCCCAACCAAAAACCAACTGCTCTCACTCTCTAATGATTGTGTATTGGCTCAACTGCGAAGTTCTGTGCTCCTTCAATGGTGCACACGGTGCCTGGCTTGCCAGGCACCATCGTGAGCCTGTGACAGGTCACAGCTCCTTGAACCCTAACAAGGCCATGAACCAGGTGGTTACTTTTATAGTAAACTATATCATGACATGTAAATACTGTGCCCATTTTACAGTCGGGGAAACTGAAGCACACAGTGGCTAAATAACCTGCTTAAGATCACAGCAGAGGAAGTGAGGGGAGTGGGATTTGAACCCTGAGTCTCAGACCCTTACGCTTTTTTTTTTTTAAGTTTATTTTGAGAGAGACAGAGACAGTGCAAGCCAGAGAGGGGTAGAGAGAGAGGGAGGCAGAGAATCTCAAGCAGGCTCTATGCTGCTACTGCAGAGCCCGATGCGAGGGCTCGAACCCACGAAACTGTGAGATCACAACCTGAGCTGAAGCCAAGAGTTGGACGTTTAACCGACTGAACCACCCGGACGCCCTTACTCTTAGCCACACACTATGTACTGATCCCCTTTCTTTCTCCTGCTTATCCCGATCCTGGATCCCGCTACCTTCTAATGGCTGGGCTCCCCAAGGACCTGGCATGGTTGGCAAGGACCTGGCCATCCCCAGGTGAACTTTTCTCGGGCTCCTGGTGCTGCTCCCACGCCGAGGAAGTTCTGTTTCATGTGTAACTTCACGCCCTGCTACACCTGTCCCTGAAAACCAGCAGGGCGGCACCAGGGGAACCCTTCTGGGCAGCTGTTCTTCGCAGAAGGGAAGGCCTTCCTGGTCCTTCGGCAAGGAGACAGGCCGCCCCCGCACTTCCCCGCCTAACTGCGTGCCTCCCGCAGAGCTCACTGCCTCCCAGCCTCCCCCAGCAGGTGCTGGGCTCCAGGGCTCCCGGCGGCTGCCCAGAGCTCTTGCCCACCCAGTGTTGGCTGCTGGCTGCCTAGATGCGCAGCTGAGTGGAGATGAAGAGCCTGCTCTCAGCTCTTCTGCGAGAGACCAGGAGGCTAAAGGCCGGGGAAGGGGAGCTGCCAGCCGAGAAGGAAGGCTTGGGAAGCCTCCAGGAGTCCCCCTTCATGGACTGCCTGGCCCAGCTGCATCCACAGCTCTGGGCTGCCCAGGAGGACCGAGGGCTGGTCCCCTGGGTCTGGCCGCAGCGGGTGGGGCTGGGGGCTGGGGAGGGGGGCCAGGGGGGGGCAGTCACAGCCCTGGCCCTAGGAGCTCTGACATGCCATCTGCTCTAACGTGTACCACCCCAGCTGGTCTGAACCACGGGCTCACAGGGGTGAGGGTCACATGGGTTCCACTGAGCTGGAGAAATATGGCTGGCATTTCTAGAACCAGCCACCATGCTACTTTACAGATTCTGATCTAACTCACAGCACCTGGTGAGGAAGGCACTGCTAGCTTACTTGATGGTTAAGTAAACCAAGGCCGGGAATCGGGCCAGGACGTGACTCTTCACTGTGCCTCGGTCCCGCCCAGGCCTCTCCCTGCAGTCCCTGGGGCCTCTCCAGGCACCAGGAGGCCACGGCCTCTGGGCTCTGGGCATGCCCCGCCTATGAAGGAAGGCTCACGAGACCCAGAGCATGGGTTTGGAACAAGCCAGATCCAAGTCAGAAACCCAGCACCGCCTCTTGGTGATCTGGGAGTGACCTGGGTGCATGACTTCCCTGTGCTTAGTGGGAATGGCCACCCACTCTGCGGGACGGGGCAGGAAACACAAAAGCGCATCTGAACCGCCAGGGCTGAGTACCGGCGAACACCGAGGCATGGCTCCCTTTTCCTTTTGGCCTTTCCCGAATAGACCAGCAGTGGTGGGGGTTGCAGTCTTGGGACTTAGGAGGGGGTGGAAGATTTCTACAGTTAAGTCAAGGGAGCTAGAGGCCATCGGACAGGAAGCAATGGTGGTCAGATTTAGGCTGGGTGGACGGGAGGTTGAATTACAAGAACACAATCTCCCTGGAGCCCAGGGCAGGTAATGAGGCAGCGTGTGGCGAGAGGCTGGGCCCGGCTGCCTGCGGTAAGTCCTTCTCCTCACTGACCCAGTGGGATTCCCAAGGCAGAGGCTGCATGTGATCCCCGCCGGGAGCCCGGCGTGCCTAACCAGGCGTGCACTTTGCCGACCTGGCTCTTAGCAGACATGCAGAGACAAGGGTGAGCCTCTCTCTGGAGTCCCTTCAGCCCCACCCACTTCCCCTGGGTTTCATCCTTAATAGGGAAGACCAATGAGGCCCGGGTTCAGACCAATGTGCACCTCGGGGGCCCCTGAGGGTACGGTCAGGACTTCTGTGCATTCACATACGTGCAGTTGGGGGAAGAGCCAGTCCAAAGTTTCATCCGATTCCCAAAAGGCTTCGGGACCCTAATCAAGTGAGGAACCTCTACTGCTTTAAGGCTCCAATCCCAAGGTAGGAGGGAAAGGCCGAGGTCTGACCCTGCCTAGGAAGTGTGTTTTTAATGAGGCACTCTGGAAGACCAGGGTCCCACTAAGAATCAAAGGAATGCATCCTGGAGGGAACACTCGAGACCTTGGCACGCACAGAAAACTATCGGGGGTAAAGTCCAGCATTCCATTTCTCCAGCCACACGGACAACCAGCCTGTCTGGGCCCAGGTAGTGGGTGCCCGGGGAGAGAATTAATTATTCTTGTTTTCTTCTTTCAGAAGGAAGGGTTGGTCCAAAACACTAGACTGTCCTCACCGGGTGCTCCTCCCTGGGTTGGGTTCTCGAGCTCTGGAATCCGTGTGGGACACCACTAAGGGAGCCATTCCCTCACCTGCCCCCCTCCCCCCCCCCCCCGGCCCTGAGAGGAGACTGGGGAGCCGGGGTCTGTGGGGAGTGAAGGTGGTGGGAGGAAGATGGCTCTTGGTGACTCACTGAGGCTGGTCTGGTCCTGACCTGTGCTCCTGGACTGGCTGATGCCCTGGGCCTGGGGCTGGGTATGTGCCGAGTGGCCCCGCGGTAGGGGTGGGGGGAGAGGGGAGATGACACTGCTTCCCAAGTAAGTGGGCAGCTCTCAGCCTACAGGGTCCCTGTGGACAGGCGGATAGGCGGGTCCTGCAGCCCCACAGCGACACCATGTGTCATGAGGAGGAAACTGCAACAGAGGTAGGCCTAGGACCCCAACTTCCTCCCCCACAGCCTGCAGACCTAGAACTGCACCCCTGGGTGAACTCTAGTGGCTCCCGAGCAATGAAAGGGTTGGGGAGCCTGCAAGAGGAGTTAATGAGGCAGACAGAGGTTCTATTGATTGGGGAGGATTTGGCCATGAGCACAGATCCACCTGGCCCCTCTGCAGAAAGGTAGGACCCGTGTGTTGGGGGAGGCAGAGGCAATGCGGCTCTGGGAAGGCTGGGAAAGGAGGAGAGCTTCTAGTCCCTCCAACAGGAGAACCTGGTCAGCGAGGGAGGAGCACTGGACAGGGAGTCCAGGGTCTGGTCCTAGCCTTACACCTGACCAGCATTTACTCCAGGCCAACCATGCGCGGATTAATCTCGTGTGTCTGTCTGGAGTTCCACGGATCCCAGACGCAGACATGGGCTCAAGCTGGGAGAAAAAGACAGGTGGTAGGTTTGCTGGCCTGTGTCTGCAGATGGGGGTATTGAGGGGGGGAGGGCAAGAAGGGAGAGGGAAGGGCAGCAGGGCCAGGCCAGGCCAGGCTTTAAGCTTTAAATAACCTCACTGAGGGCAGGGGCCAAAGCGACCTTGCCTCCACCCAGCATCACCCCCACCACGGGGCCATAGTCCACCTTGACCTTGGCATTGAGGACAGGGCACCAGTTTTGAAGTCCAAGAAATCTGGGTTTGAGTCCTAGTTTCTCTGTCTTCTAGCTGAGCCTTAGGCAAACTGCTGGGCCCCTATCGTCCCTGTTATTTTCACTCTATGAGGTCACATGGAGGAGAAGTTCTGTGACTCGTAGGGGTGCTGGGATTACGTGAGCCTGTGTATATAAAAACGCCCGGCACGCAGTGGAGCTGTAGCTAAGGTTAGTCCCTGAGTATCCCCCGGCTGAGAGAGTCTACCTACTTCCTGCCTCAAATTAAGAAACCCTTGAAAACTGCAATTTTCCTGGCCGAGAGATCACCCAGGAGGCCAGGGGCTTGCGGGGAGGGTGTGGTTTATCAGCAGGGCCTGGCAGAATGGACACATAGGAAGTAAATTTCCAGAAAGCTGGGTTGTGCCAGGGCCGGACCCAGACCCGGGAGCCGGAGCAAGGGGTCTGGTGGTTCACGGGGCACAAAGTGGCAGGAAGTGGGGAAGCCCATAAATGTGGGTGTGGGACAGAGAGAAGCAAGGCCAGTCTCCTTTATCACTTCCTAATACAACACTTCCTGGCCCCTTCCTTGGGACCCCGTGAGTGGAACCCGCCCCACACCCCCCGCAAGGCCTCTGATTCCCCACGAAGACCACCTGTCACCATTCCATTCACTACCCGTCCCCAGAGTTTCCGTGGCCTCCAGGCCGAGGCCCCACCCAGAGGGCGGCCCACTGCCTCGCAGCCAGGACCCTTGGGCTGAGTGCTTACCGTTCCTGCCCGTGAGCATCTGGAGGAACTGTGGGCACCCCACTTCCACAGTCTGTCCCAGGGCAGAGGAGGGCCAGCAGCTCATGTTGTCCCACAGCCCCTCGCAACCTGCAAAGAGGAGAAGCAGCATTAGACAGAGATGGAGCGGGATTGGGGGGAGGCAAGGGCCTCCCTCCTCCCCCCCACCCTGTCCCCGTCCCCAACCCCCCTGCCTGCCAGGAGTTCCCATCAGGTCCTGACCCCTTGACATCAGGAACAAATGGTGTGTAATGTGCTTTTTTAAAAATAATGCTTATTTTTGAGAGAGAGAGAGAGAGAGAGAGAGAGAGAGGTAGAGTGTGAACAAAGCAGGGGCAGAAAGGGAGACACAGAATCTAAAGCAGCTCCAGGCTCTGAGCTGTCAGCATGGAGCCTGACGTGGGGCTTGAACTCACAGACCGTGAGATCATGACCTGAGCTGAAGTCAGATACTTAACCCGCGAAGCCATCCAGGAGCCCTTAACATGCATGCCTTTTAACCTTTGGAGCCTTTGAGTCTGCCATGTACACAGCATGTGCTCGTGGTGAAGGCATGGAAGGGAGGAAGGAGCGCATGGTCTCTTGCATAAGCCTCCTAAGGGCCGGTCTGGATTTCTCTAGAGCAGAAGATGAAACACCTCTTGCCTTGCCTCAGTTTGCATTAAAGGACTGGACAGCCGTGGCCTCCATACTGACTGCACAGTCTTACCGTCTGGAGAGCTTTAAAAACATACAGACTGGGCCCTACACCCAGGGATCCCGATCTCACTGGTGTTGGGAGGCGCCCAGGCAGAATACTGTGTTAAAACCAGCTCCCATAGCCCTCCCCTGCGTGCATCCCTTGGAAACAGGCTTTTATCTGGGCTCCGACTTCTAAAGCTAGCACCACGGCTCTGGTTCGGTGCTAGAGGGAGGTGGTTACCGGTGCTCCACACTCAGGAAGCACCCACGGTGAGGCTCCAGGGCCCCCGGCCCCATCCTTGTTTTACAAATGAAGCAATAAAGCAGTGAAGGGAAGAAGGTTCCCAGAGTCATGCAGCCCAGAAAGGCCAGGGCTGGGCATGGGCTGTCCAGCCACACTGCGCTCGGTGCCACCTCACAGGCTCTGCCCACCCGCCCTGTCTCCTCGGGGCACCGACCCCAGCCTCCTAGAGGAACTCAGGCTGATGGACAGGCTGGGGAAGCTGGAGAGAGGCCAGGAGGTGGGGAGAGGCCGAGGGTGGGGCCGGGCCAGGAGGGAAAGGGAGAGGATGCGGAGAGCTGGGCTGAAGGCCGATGGGGTTCACCTCTTGCGGGGGTGGGAAGGGCAACCCCCAGAGGGATCAGGGGGAAGAGAGGAAGGGAGAGCCCTCCCTCCAGGAGCCCAGGCCTGAGGTCAGGATGCCTGGCTAGGGGCTCTGGAGGCAGAGAAGTCCCCGAAGTGACAGACAGGCTGTGACCCCCCGCAAGGGAGCTGGTGCAGAACGAGAGAGCGTGGGCACAGAGGCAGAGGGCTTGGACCGGGCTTGCGCAGGACAGCAGAGGCACATCAGGACTGAGGACCGGGGTCTGTGTCATTCAAGGAATGCGGCAGAGGAGCAGCCCCTTGGATGTGCCTAGACCCTCACCCCGATTCTCACAGTGAAGCCGAGCAGCTGAGATGTCCATCAGAACCCCCTACCTCCCCACTCCCCACCAGCACCCGGAGAAAGGTTCCACTGCCATTGAGGCAGCCAGTCGTCCAGATTCCAGCTGTGGGCGCTGCTCGCCAGACCTGAGCAGGGTCCCCCGGAACTTGCAGCCCCTCCCCCGTCCACCCACACCCCTGCCCCGTGGCTCTGGCCTCCCCAGATGCCCCCTGGACAGCCGCACAGTGCTGGGAAGGCCCGTAACAGACGCCCCTCTGTGTCTGTCTGCTTTGAGGTTTTCCGGCATCTGGTGTCCAGAGGATGAGGCTGACCTGGAACTCTCCGCAGGGCAGCAGATGCCTCATTTACAAGGAGACACATCTCTTGTACCGGAAACAGTTGGGGCATTTCCCGGCTGTGGAGAGTTCAGGGGCCTCTTTCCTCACTTTGAGGGAAATGGATTCAGGGCTGGGCCTGGCCAGGTCACCCAGAGCACCGGCCACACCTCCTGCCCAGGAGGCTGGACAACCTACTTCCCGCGGGCCACGCCATCTGCAAGCGTCCCGCCCAGGTCATGCTGGGCAAGGCCCACAGGGACACTGCTCCGGTGCTGGCAGAAGACAGCGGGGGAGTGGCTGGTGGCAAGGTGGGAGCGGTCTCCCCTCAAGGTGAGTGGGGTCCCCCTGACAGCTGGGCCCCTTCAGATCAGCCCTGAAGACAGGAGAGGCTGGGGACGGGGCCCCCCAGGCTGGCACTGGCCACGTATCTGACATTGTGGACCCTGCAGGGGTTGGGTAAGGTCACTGCCCCACAGTGTTCCAGTTCCAAGAGGCAGAGTGACATGTGCTGGGGGTACAGAGTGGGCGAAGGGGGGGCTAGGACCCCACCCTCCAGGCTGAGCCTCGGTGGTAGCAGAGAGCCAATGCTACCTGGACATGGCGTTGCTCGTGTCTGGAGCCCTGTGGCATGGCTGTGACACGGCCGTGGTCTCTCCCAGCCTCGGCCTTGCCGTCTGGGGAGAGACCAGTTGCTCCCGGTGTGAGAAGAACATCCTCAGCGGCATGCTCCTTTAGCTGTATGTGGCTGAATGCTTTTCATTTTAATAGCGCTGCATTTTTAAAAAATATTTATTTAGTTTTTGAGACAGAGACAGAGTGTGAGCCGGGGAGGGGCAGAGAGGGAGGGAGGGAGACACAGAATCTGAAACAGGCTCCAGGCTAGGAGGTGTCAGCACAGAGCCCGACGCGGGGCTTGAACTCACGAACCGCGAGGCCATGACCTGAGCGGAGGTCAGATGTTTAACCGAGTCCCCCCAGGCGCCCCGCTCCACGTTTTTTTGAGAGAATTTAATATGTATTAAAAAGTTATAGAGCCGGCCTCTCGCATCTATGATTTTACAGCTATTATCGTTTAGGCTAAGTTAAAAAATAACAGCCAATTGAAAAAAAGGGAGCCCTCGTACACCATTGGCAAGAATGCAAACTGGTGCAGCCACTGTGGAACACGGTATGGAGGGTCCTCAAAAAATAAGAATGGGACTGTCGTGATCTAGCAATCCCACTTCCGGGGTTATGGCCAAAGGGAATGAAATCAGGATCTCACAGAGATATGGGACCCATGTCTCACCCTCACTGCGGCATTATTTACAACAGCCACTGTGTGCAAACAGCCTAAGCAACCACCGAACGATGAACGGATCAGGAAAATTACCGGGAGATACTGTTCAGCCTCAAAAGAGAAAGGAACCCTAACTCGTGACAGCAGGGCTGCACTGGGAGGGCACCACGCTGAGTAAACTGAGTCAGATGCCGATGGACACATGCTGCGTGATCTCCCTCATGTGCAGCCTGCAAGGTTTGAGCTCACAGGAGCAGAAAGGGGAATGGTCACCCCAGGCTGGGGGCTGGGCAGGCAGGGAGAGGTTGGTCACAGGGCACAGAGCTGCAGGATGCAGGGTGAGTAAGTCTGAGATCTAACGTACAGCACGATGGAGGGAAAAAGTCAATCGATTTCAAGAGGAAAGATTAAGGACATCGGTACAGGTGGTACGCGGCTGCAGCTGGGCTCCAGGGATGGTGGCCAGGTGAGCGGGGTGGCTCAGTGTGGCCTCCCGCCCCAGTCCCCACCAGGCTCCTGCTCTGAGGTGGGGGCGGAAAGGCCTGCAGAGGTGGAGCAGGGATGGGAGGGAGGGAAAGCATCCTGGCACGAGGCTCCTTCTGGAGTGTTCCTGTGGGGAAGGGACAAACCCCCTCACTCAGGTTGCTGCGGATGCCTGGGTAGTTTTAAATCTTAAGCCCCAGCGCTTGCTGCCTGAGTCGGAGGTTGGGGGGTGGTGTCCAATGAGATAAGGGCCGGGGGAGCTTGGAATATGGGGGCTCCTGTGACAGACCCAGTAGGCAGGGTTCAAATGCATACAAATTCGTGGCTGCCGGGGCAAGCAGGGCTCAGGAGAGGGTGAGGGGGGAACCTCTCGGTTCTCCGTCATCTCTGATGGTCACTGTCGCCACTGACTGAGGGATGGGATGGAAGGTTGGGGAAGTTTACATGGGGAGACAAGAAAAGACAAGGTTGGATCACAAGTGCCGTCTGGGGGAGCAGGGGGTGCCTGCTGAGTGCCCACGGCCCCAGAGGATGGCAGAGGGATCCTGAGTTGAAGTGGTGTCGAGGTGGAGACAGAGATAGCTTGGATCCAGATCTACCCTGGGCATGCCACTTAACCTCTATGGGCCTCAGTTTCCTCATCTATAAAATGGGCCTAGTAACATCCCCCCAGGATTTGGGTGTGCATTAAACGACTTGTGTGCAGGAGAATATTTTCTGATCTGTTCATCTCCATCCTGTTTTTTTCCTCTGGGTATTTTCCCCCTTTTTTGGTCCCTCTTCCTCAGACTACTCGTTCATATTCTCAGAGGTGAGCAGGAAAACTTAAAATCTTCCTGGCTTGGGTTTCCAAAGGGTATGTGGGGTGGGAGCAGGTGGGGGGGGGAGCAGGAGGAAGTGGGCAAGAATTCTGGTGTAAACAAATGCTTAGGAGAAAACAGAAAAGGAGCGAGACTTCCCTCAGACTTGGAAGACAAGGAGGGCAAGCAATGAGCCAGACGGATAAGGTTCCAGAAAGAGGCATAAGTACCCTGCTGCCACCAGACCCGGATGGTGGGATAGCTCACAGGATGAAGGGCTGTGGGGACATGTCTAGAGCAGGACCACAGACAGCCTCGCGGCACCCACAGAAGCGTATCGGCCACCAGCCTGTGCGGCAAAGTTCAAGACCACACTGGCTCCCCCAGGTACCACGGCTCCACGTGAATCTCTCGTCGCCTGGGCGGGCTGTGTGGAAGATGCAGAAAATATCCAGGCTATGGTTTCTCCACCCCAGGAGGATGGAGTCAGAATCAAACTTACGAAACTGAGAAAGTTCCATTTTGGCCACTGGAGCTGATAGACAAAGCCTGGTCACCTGTACACTCGTGAAGCCCCTGGCAC